ACATCTGCCGGTAACTAGTTTCCAGGTCTTTGGGCTGGAGAACCCAAAACTGCGTTGGCCTCGCCGCAGCAGGGTTTTCGCCCGGGTACAGCAGCAGATCGGCATGGGCGATGATCGTAGATGGTGTCGATTGGGGTCTGTTGAGGCTGGCACTGCACGCTGCTCAGCGGTGTGCCGTGGATTACAGGATCTGCAATTATGGTCCCGTCGATATCGGTGCTCATAATTGTGTTTCTGCTGTAATTGTGCTCTCTGGGGAACGATCTGAAATCGGCACTAATTTAAATAGGACATTTAAGGCATCCTTAACATTGTTCCCAATGAAACGTGCCCTTTGTATGAATGGCAAAATCTGTGAACTGTAATTATCTGCACAGAATCGTGCGTTTCATATTCCAGCACACGCTGTTGGTCCGATTTGTATTGTCTCGGCTAGCAGGGAGTCCTGTGTTCTAAACTGCCCCAGGGCAATACTTGGCAAATTAACAGTGATAATGATCTTTTCCCCTTGTGAGTTTTAGATGCAGTGCACTGTTCCAGTCGTCGTTCATTGCTTAATATACTGCAGTACTGTGGAAAGTTGTCGGGAGCGATTGCCAACATCTAGAGGAATTGTTTGCTTCTGTAATTGCTGCCTGCTATACCTACTGGGAGCATTTAGCGGCAATGTTAGTGTCATTATTGTAGAAATATTGCTTTAATTAGCGGTAATTTGGTTTACACTTGAAGGGGACACCGGTCTGCCATGGGTCTATGGGGATATCACAAATGGTGAAGGATTCTCGTTTATTGAAGTATCATAGTTATTCCTCTGCAGTACTACACTAATTCCTCCTGATGTGATATCCCGGCAATATTGTCATCCATTTGCTCTACAGCACTGGTTCATCATTAGTGGCATGTTCTTGGCATCATTGGAGCGCACACACTTGATGATCTTTAACTTGTAGTGTATCCGAGATCCGATCATATAAGTCCCGCTTGTTGGGAAGTAAACGGTGTGTGGGTTTTTTTTCCTCCTCCTGTGTATAGAGAAGCCCCTGCCATGGGAATGTGGAATGTATTGCGTCACTTCACGACCTTAAATTAGATGAGTTGCACCACATGATTGTTTGAGCACAAAGGCGGTTAATCATTCACACTTTAACTGTCTTGCTGATACAATAAAAAAAATAAGAGCAAGGCTAAGTTGTATGTGGAGGGCCAGTACGTTTTGATGAATGAAATGGGACAGACTGTCATGTACACACATTATATCTCTCTGCGTTTTTTTTATTTCATCTCTGTGATATTAATACTTGTTTTGTCAAGATTGCTGGGTTTTTTCTTCACCTGCTTTGACGCATTCACAATTGTAGCATTGTCAATTTTGTCATGAAGACTAGTTGTATGCGGTGAAGGATAATTCTGAGTTATTGAAATAAATAACATAAATCTACCCTTCCTGTCTCCGTGTAAATATAAAATATATTCTCAGTCTATTAAACGTTGGGTCTCATGGAGTAAATGTTAGACGGCAAGCATTTGTTTAACATGCAAACTCTGGAGTGGTTTGCCCCTTTTTTTGGTTATCCAGAATGTTCAAATACTGCTCATACAATGTTGTCTTTTGTACTGGAAAGTCAACGTTATTTAGAGGGAGTTCTTGATCAACAGTAACAACCAGAAAGCGAGCAGAATTTGTTTAGCATGCTGATGTGAGACCCAGAAGGTCCAAACTTGTCCAGTGTTTGCACACTTAAATGCATTATGTTGGTTAATGTACGTTTTGAAGGCCAATAACCCGACGGACTAAAACACATTTAACTTTTTACGCAAATATATGTAATATAATTTTTTTCATTAATGTATTTGATTCAATACGTGTGATTCTTGTGATAAGTTTGAGGGCAGTTGTTCATATGGAGCCAAATGGAATTGCATGCCCAGACATGCCTGTTGTGTTGTTGCCACATTCCTATTTCATGGTATAACCTTTGGAGTTGAAATGCTGTCCTGTATACTGCATATTTTAGATTGTGTACTTGTTTTTGCAATCGTCGCTGTACGTTTTTATACAAATAGGATATTCGAATGTAATTTTATTTTGTGCTAAACAGTCTACATTCATAATTTTTCTGAGAGTACAGTGTAAACAAGCGAATTGCACCATCTTCAAATGCGGTGTCATCAACTCTTGCTGCGGTGTTAGTAACCAGAAGTACGCTCGCTATCGTGAAAAGCGGCGTCTGTGAGAGCCTCCCTGTTTCCGAGGGAAAATCGGATGGATTTTAACTTGGTTCAAGCTCAAGTCGGCTTGTGTCCATGTTCACTCAAGCATCGGGTGGCAGTGTTCATCTCAATTGGCAGAACAGAGTCGGCAGTGACATTTCCACATTTCCATGGCCAATTTAAGTCTCTGACTACGATGTCCATTCTTGGGTATGACACACAGTGGCACTTATTTTGTAGACACCCCCAGAGGGATGATGGATTAAGTAAATTACCTTTACAGTAAATTACCTCTTCTTGGTTCTTTCGGTAAAGTCACAGTAGAAGGGAAGAAATAAAATAATAATAAAATTAAAACATTATTTTATTACTTCCCTTCTACGTGACTTTACCGAAAGAACCAAGAAGATGAATCCCTGCAGTCACGAAAGCTTTAAATCGAAAAGTAAATTACCTGTTCTGTTTACGTGACAACCCTTACTAGTTGGCTGTGCAGGGTGGTGGCGGGTTTTAACGACACATTTATATATTTACGCGATCTAACCCAAAAACCTCTATTATGGATACCTTTACAGAATTTAAAAAGTGCAACTTCCAATAGTGAGTCTGGCGTGCTAAATGCAGAGGCACCCAATTAAGATGCAAGTTTAAGAGATTTTGAACTCCGCTTTTGAAGATTCCCCCAGTAGTGCATGGCGACAGCTTGAGAGAAAACTCAATCGAGACGCAAACCAGGAAAACCGCAGAGGTGCTGAGCCAGAATTAACCCTTTCCCATTCCGAAACGTCTGCAAGTTGCAGGGGGGAGGGTCCCGTTCACCGCTGAATCTCGGAACGCGAAGCGGTTAGCGTTAATTTTATTTAGAGAGGCTTCACGATGTTGAATTTAAAGACATTGTACTCACCGCAGAGAACTGGAGCGACACCACCGCACTCTTATGATAGCTGGCACCAAACTGTGCCGCACGCCCTCCCGCATGGCTTTGTGGGAGCCTCGGTACTGATTACGTTTTTTATTTTAGTTTTTCTTCGGTTTTCATTCCAATTATGTACATGTACGTCATCGGAACAGGAAAGGGTTAATAACAACAAACATTTATGGCCCTTAATCAAACCACTTCCGGATGAAGGACTCCCATGTCAGTCGTGGGTATTGTTTGACCATACTTCACCACGCTGGTCAATGCAAGTTGATGGAAGGGGGGAGTGGGCATGATTCGTTGAAACATCACTCGCAACTGATATTAGCCGTGGCCGGGAATCAAACTCAGGTGTCTATACTTTAATACCATCTCACTGTGTTGATGTTAGTGAGGAACTCTCCACAGGTAACAGCCATGGCTGGAATTCAAACGCAGGTCACTTGGCTGTGTTCATAGCGCAGTGCACCAAACAACACTGCACCACTTTGTGTAACCTCAGGCGGCATTACTCGCAGCTAAATTGTAAAATATAATAACTGGCCCAACACAGCTATGTTTATACATAATTTATTTTTAAAAGGGCAATAGAAATCTCAGGAGGCTTGTAAATGAATGGACTTGGAATACATTATATCAATACCGATTTACTCATAGGTCTGTTCAGGCACCCTTTTCGTCCTCCACCTTCTCCCCCTGTAATTTGTTGAACTCTGAAAATTTGAGGTCATAATTTTATGCAGGAATCCTGATTCGTTTTGTCTAATTTATACTCTCCTTTGCATTTCCCTCCCACTGTTGTGCATTGAGCATTTTTACGTCTCGTTCATTGCATCAGCCTGAAGCGCTACAGTTTGCGCAAGTCTCGCACAACCGATTCTTACACACACACACAGTTAAATGCGTGCATGAGCTGGGGTATTAATGATGCATCAAGTCATTGATTGATATCGATTGTTAAGCGTGCTACACTTGCTTCAAATTGAATATTCAAGAATCTGATGTTTCTTTAGAGGTGGCTGGGTAAATCGGAGGTCATAACGTGGAAACACTGAGATCCTCGTTTTTTAATCCGGGTTTCAGCCACTTCTGATTAAACCACTTTCTCGAGTGTATTAGCGAGTTCACGGTGTCGGCCCGTTCACCAATAATGACAAAAAAACGTGTTACATTTGCTTCTGCATTTTGGCTATTTCCAGATCTGAGGATGGAACATTGGCTCAACTGACGTGTGATGATCATTGCTATCGGTGGCGTAGCGGATCGGAAAGAACAGTCTGTTCTGCTATAACGTGTTAGTTGCATTCCTGAAGAAAACCACATTATGGAAAAAAAATCACGTTGTAATAAATAATATATAATATAGGGTCAAGCACAGTCCGCGATAACACGTGAGATGCGTACGCAGGCTGAACACAGTCTGAGGAGCGTGGGTAGCATCTAGTAGCATCCAGCAGCATCCCGCCTTGTGCGATGCTACGCCTGATGAGGCTGTTGTAATTACCGGCGAAACGTTGTACTCGAATTGTACATTTTATGGGTTTACTCTCCAACACACCGGTGTGCTGAACTAGTAACTAATTGGAATGTTTTGTTCACGTGACAAACCTTGCTAATTGGCTGTGTCGGGTGGTGGCGGGTTTAACGACACATTTATATTTACACGATCTAACCTAAAGAAACCCTGAAGACGGAGGCTTGTGTTGCCTCCGAAACGCCGTGGTTTAATTACATTTATTTAAATTTTTTACCTACGTGACTTTATCGAAAAAAACAAACTGTATAAATAAACCCTCTTCTGGAGTTTTATTTTAGTTCAGTGTTGACCAGGTTGATATACGCGCGTCTGCGTTTTGGGCGGCACGTGCAGGCGATGTGAGCGAGGGAGAGCTCTATTCCACGCTGGCCGAGGGGGAGGCAGACGTGGACAACGCCAGCAGCAGCAGCAGCAGCGCGGACTTCACCAGCGAGATGCACTTCTACGAGCAGGTGGAGGACACCAAGGATGGCGTGTGGCTCGTGCAGGTAACGGTTTCTCTCTCGCTCTTTCCTCTCTCTCTCTCTCTCCTCTTCCGTCAGCCATTTCCCCCGCACCTTCGATTAGCGCGGTTGGCTACGTACGGTGCGAAATAAGTTCAACGTACATCAATACATCTCAACAGGGCCAATAAAATAAGTGCTGCTTTGTGAGAAGTCCAAAGTGGTAGTCCGTATGGGGAGACTGCTTCCTCCCCACCCCCAACAGGACATGAGTGCAGCTTTGAATAAGGAGACACATTCACTTTTGGGTAATAACAGTTCAACACACACACACGTGGCGGCTGGCTGACGATGAGGCTGAACGAACGTTTCCCCTCGTGGTCGTGGCGTGTGCGAACTCAGTCTGCGTTGCTGTGGAGCGTTAGGTGTAAAATCACACGTAAGTGGAACTCTGTTCTGTGCCTCCACACGTGAGTCCAAATATGCTTTAGTCTATACCCTCGTGTTCACCATGGTCCATTTTGGTCAACAAATTAAGTAAGCAGGCAATGCTTCTTTACACCTAAAAGTAGATAAATATTTCAAACGCATCCCATTAGCCGCTCACTGGGCCGTCCATAGGGGGGGCGCAGGGCCCGTAAATCCCAGTGTGTGCCCCCCCCCCCCATGCCTTCAAACTAAACCGGAAGTATTACATCTGATGCCGTGATGTCGAAGCAAGGAGGCCCCCCAGAGCGCGGGACATTCGGCAATCACTCCGATTCGCCGTACTCTAGGGGACTACTCTGCCACTCGGCCTTGTCGGAGTTCATTATTTCAGGAGCATCGGTTCTCTACACAAGCGATTTGTGGACCAGTTTCGACGTGCAGCGTCTCATCAGCAGAGCCAGGCTTGCTCAGACAGGTTGTATGGAAGGGAGCACTTATTCCTTGCCCCCCACCACAGCTGGTCCACTGTTAAATTCACTGCACCAATATTTATTGCTGGACGAACAAGTCTCAAGTATATACGTGGGCTTTCACGATTCGTTATTAGTTTATTTTGTATTAGATCGTGGCGGTATAATGTCATGGACAGTTTTAATAAATGACATTGCTACACGATCCAACCCCAAAGAAACTAATTACGAATCATGTCTCAATTGTGGTTATCAGGGGACATTTATCGTGGTCATTATAATATGTGAAATGGTCGGCTTTGTGCCTTTGTGCCAGAACCACACTGGGTACTGTTGGGAATTGAGAGTGTTTTCATTTGTTTCATCCTCTGTGGGGCACAGATCTCATGCAAGAAGAAACACTTCATGCTGGAGCCGAAGGAGTGGAAGGAGGTGGTCAAAAAAGTATCCCGCTTCGGCATACGAACAGGGACCTTCCACTGCTCCCTGGATCCCAGGTGAAGATGATGCATTGCTGGCCAAACATTGCACACGGCAACGTATGTGTAGTAAGTTGCAGGAGGCTCGGACGACGTAGTTGGAGGCACACTTATTTATTAATACCAACATATGCACAGCGACAGGAATACACAGCACTTGAAGGGGTATCGGCCCCTTCACCCGTCTAACAGGGAGACCCAATGGCTAACCCCGCTAACCTACGCCCGGGTCCTCCACTATGGAGCTAGGGGAGGCTACCTATCCCAGCCCTGGTCAAGCTGGGATCCCGGCACCCTGAGTCTCCAGACCGGCTCTTATAAGAACGTCAGTCTGGGCTCTCGGGGCCACGCCACCGGCTTGCCCCGGTCGGTCCTGACAAGGACAGCGAGTCAGGGGAGCTCCGGGGCCTATTCTAGCTGGTCTTCACTCTTCGCTGGTTTAAGCTAACACTCGACCTCGAGCCCTCTGGCTCACCACCTTTTATAGCACTCGGCCCCCGGGAGGGGCCCGTGGGGGATGCAGGTGTGGACGTCGGTGTGAGCACCTCCTCTGTGTACGGCCCTAACCACGCCCCTTGTGTTTGTTACCCATCCGTGACCATACATCTTTACAATTACTCCTCTACATATGTATGTATGTTGAACTTCTTTGGCGCACCATACGTAGCCAACCCTGCTCATCAGAGGAGCGGGGGAAGGACAACAAACCTTTCTACCCATTTCAATCACAGCAGCTGTAGGTTTTTTTGCATTGGGGTAAAAACGTGTTTTTACAGTTAATGCATAGCATACAATACCATTGTTTTAATTATTGTATAAAGGCAGTCCATGAGATATGAACGTCCGTCCCATCACTTGATACGGTAAATTTAGCTGTGACGGTCCCACCTGAAGACGGAGACTTGTGTTGCCTCCGAAACGTCATGATTTAATTGAGTTATTTTCATTTATAATTATTATTTTATTATTATTATTATTATTTTACCTACGTGACTTTACCGATGTAGTTAACATCTCGCCAACGTTGCCTCCTTAATTAAAATTCATGGAGTGGTGTTCTTCTCCGTTTGTGACCCCTGAACCTGTGCTGGAAACTTGGTCTCGTGCTTCTGGCTGTGGCCAGTTGTCCATAATCACGAGTACCTACTGACTTCCCACAATGTTGGTACTCAATTTATTGACCCCACAAGGGTGATGTGTCCGAGTCAGTCCTTAAAATGGAATTTAAATCCATGACCTTGCAATTGTGAGGCAGGTGCTCTATCACTTCATCGGTACTTAGTAGAAGCTGCAGATATATCTAGCAGGGCCAACTGTATTTCTGTACTAATATCCTAATGTAAAGTGAAGTATCAGAAGTTTTCCTTCAACTTTCCTTCTCCATACTCTTTGGTTTTTTCGGTGAAGTCACGTAGGTGAAAATAAAATATAAAATAACTAAATCACGACGTTTCGGAGGCAACACAAGCTTCCGTCATCAGGTGGAACAACCACAGCAAAAATGTTTTTACTGTAGTGGGCAGAGAGAGCTGTATGTGACAAGCTGTTGTCGTTATTTACTGTAAACCCGAGGTAATTAGGATATTATCATATTAATCACATCCTTATAGACACAGGGGGGGAAGCTTGTGTTGCCTCCGAAACGTCGTGATTTATTTATTTATTTATAATTTTACTTTCACCTACGTGACTTTACCGAAAGAACCAAAGAGTATGGATGGATCCTTGCAGTCACGAAAACTTCAAATCTAGAATTTCCCTCCAGTGTAACATTAGCACGTGTTGCTTATAAGATAACTGTGTTTATATTAGGTGTGCCTATACCCACCTTCCACTCTTTTACATTACTACGATACAGTATTTTCTTTATTGTACAACATACGTTTTGATGTATATTTTGTACAAAAAAAATATTTGAGACATTTGGAATGTGTCTTACCTTTTATACGCTCTTTTTTCTACGAAGCTTATTTTTAAGAAAGATTGAATGTCTCCAAGATTCGTTCCCACGCTAAATAAATAGATCGATAATAATTTATACCGAGAAAACATTGCGGCACTCAGTTAAAGGTTGATTTTGCATAATGCTGCCGTGAGTTTGAGCGCAAATTCGATACATTTTTAGGTGGCTTTATGTCACAATTTTACCAGTATTTTATCGGCATGCTCGCACTGCACAAATAGACGTTTACAATAGGGTCATAAATTTACCTTCCCCTTCATCCATAAATTGAGTTTTCAGCGCTGCCACAATAAAAAAATGCTAAATTCGTGTAGAAAGTTTCTAACAATCATAATAAAATGTATTAAATATAAACAGAACTACATGTTTTTATTGGCTTCACATATTAATAACATATAAGACCATCAACCTATTGTCTTTCTGGATAAATATTACCCAGCAGCAGTTGTCTCAGCAAGCATAGAGTGCTCCTCAGCAGACTCATTGAACAAATGCTCCTGGATTACTAGATGTTACCGACTAGGGCGCTCCATATGAAATATGTATCTAACTACATTCGGTTGTTAGAATTGTACCTCGGCTTACTCGCGGTGAGTAGAAACAATAACAATTGTAGCGTTGAACGGTTGCACTGTCGTGTGAGAATTAAATGTGTTTCATTGGTTGTCGGGTGGTGGAGGATTCTTAATGACACAAATTTGGTCGGATCGTTCGGTAGCGACCCAACCCAAAAATGAATTACGAATCGTAACATTGGCTGCAAAAGCCTGCTACGTGTTGCGTACATAAATTAATTCTGCATTGCCGTGGAGAATTATGGGTAAAATGTAAATAAAAATTGTTTTACCTCCAAAATGAAGGGTAGTTATTGATGTTCCACTTTTGAGTGTCTCCGTGTGATTGGATGTCCGTGCATTTTGTAATTTATTTCATTTTGCGTGCACGGTAATTCAAAACAGTAGCAGCCGCCAAATGTTTATGTAGCAGGTGGCATATGTGTGATTACAAAATTGAGTTAGACTTCATTTTCCGACCAGATTTCAAGTCAAGAAACTAAATTACGGTGTAACATAATAACATTTGGCAACTTGTGAATTACCAATGTGTACTCAGCGAGTGCCTTTGTTCTATATGCTCCAGAGTTTTAACTTTTATTTGGGGTCTATTTTTTATTTACATTCATGCTCTGTTTATACCCAGCCAGACTGTCATTTATTGTAATATGATTTTGTCTGCTTGTAAATAGCCTTACACATTTCTCAAGCTTCCTCATGAATAGGGTTATCGTATGAACTGTTTTCTTTGGATTCAAAGACCTACTTGCCCCACCCTGTATTTTGAAAAAAAAGTTTTTGGCGCCTCATATAATCCAGTAGATGTGCGTGTTTCTGTGTGACCTGATTTATATAACTTTATTGACACGAGGCGCAAGAATGGGATGTGTCCTATTTTCCTAAGCGTCGTAGAATCCGGACTGATTGGCATATATTAAACTCTGAAAATTCTTCTTGTTGCGATGTTTATTGGACAACCTGAAACAGCCTGATCGGCAAGAATACCTGAATGGAAGGGGCAAAAAATCGTGACCAAACTGGATTGGCTTAACTCTGAACAGTCCTGGGATGCTCTGAATATCTTAACGCCAATGGGGGCAGTATTAATCCATCAATGTGCAGTGTATCATGCTGAATGTTCTGGATAATGTTATGGGTATCTGGCAGGGTGGCATTGTGGCCAGGGGGGGTGTTTGCGTCACACTCAGAAGGCTGCGAGCACAAATCTTGGTTCAAAACACGTTCCTTCGGAGTGGGCAGGTAGGAACTTGGTTGGACAGCGCATTCGTGCGATCCGTGTCACGCGGCGCAAGCTGCGTGGGGCAGGCGCGTCACGTGGTGCTGAGCCCGCCCGAAGCGCTCTATGAAATACAAATCGAGGGCGTGGCTCTGCACGACAGACAGACAGACAAATAATCCCTGGTGGGCAGTGTGGAACTGTTGTTCCTACCTGTAATATATATTTCGACTGGAGGAATCCTATGAGCTATGAAGCTCTTTCTCACAGATGTCCGGTAGGGGGCGGGTCAGCGGGTTACATCAACAAACAATACAAAAAACGATATGAGAGCTAGATAGAGGAAAGGTAAAGCACGTTGCAATAAATAAATAGTACAGAAGTACACATTGCACAAGTACAGTGGGGGTCGACTCAACGTCATCGTCCTGTCCAGGTTGTGTAAATTTATCACCACTTTGTAGGAAGTAAAGAATGGTGTCGCATTGCGTGACGAGCCCCCTGCCATCAGAACGTGGCATTTCCCACCGAAAACATTGGGCTGGGTGTGGAGGCGGCGGCGGCGGCGGCGGTACAAATGGCATCGCGAACTCTGATATGAACCTGGCGAACTAAATTCTATTACCCCTGTCCGTGGTTAACATCAGCCACAGGTTTTATCTGAACCGGTGCTGCCCTAATGCCAACCTGCACTGGCCGGTGTGGTAAACTATGGTCAAAACAACACGGCAACGCCACATGGGGAGGCCTTGATCCAGATGCGGATTGAGAAAGGGATGCTAATTATTATTTCTCGTTATTATTAGCTTGTCTTTAACCAATTCTCCCGGTATGGACACATTGTTGTTATATCTCACGGTTGGCTACGTACGCTGCGAAATAAGTTCAACATAAATACGTATATCTCAGAAGCTAAATCAGGGTTGAGCCTGTTTCGTGCTTTGATGTAGTAATCGCTATGCAGCACACAGGCACTGCAAGCTGCTGCGGGGCCTGTGTTGCCAGCGGAGGGCAAGTACGGCAACATCCACCACTAGGCTCCCACAACTCTGATCCCCACTTTTACCAACCTACACTGACCAACCTTGGGGAAATATGGCCCCACGTTGGCGTAGGGAGGCCCTCAACCAGCAGGAGATTGATACAATGGCTGTAGATGCATATGTGACATTATGAAATCAATGCTGTCATAGCGGATGAGCAATAGGCTGGATTTGGAAGCAGTCGCCCTCCAGCAACAACGGAGGGCAGAGGGGCGACGCTCGCAACAATGAGCGAAGCGCTGGGCGGCTAAAACGCAGAAATCTGCACTGTGGGGAGCACTGTTGGTGCATCTGTTGGTCATCTCAGTCAGTGAACCCATGGCACCTGGGTCTGTTCTGTGATCACCTGCCAACAAGCCTTCGACACTTCACGTGGCATTAAAGTGCACCTCGCTATGGCACAACCTCCGTAGTGACGTCACCGCCACTTAGTGACGAACTGCGGTTGTTGTTGCAATGAGCTATTGATCCTTTAATCATGAAGGCACTAAATTTCGATTTAAAGCTTTCGCTGACTGCAGGGATTCATCTTCTTGGTTCTTTCGGTAAAGTCACGTAGAAGGGAAATAATAAAATAATAAATAATAAAGCATCATAAAATACAATTCTCACGACGTTTCGGCTACAACGCAAGCAGCCGTCCTCAGGTGAAGAACAGGTCTGTCGGAAAGACGCTGTCTTTCCTGTCTTTTTATTATGTTTTATTTTTATTATTTTATTATTTCCCTTCTACGTGACTTTACCGAAAGAACCAAAAACATGAAGGCACTCTTATTTTTGACTGTACGAAGTTCTCTACGCTGATGTCTTTCCTGAATGTGTGATGCGTCATCGTTGGCATTTGCCTTGCAAATTTGCTTACAGGTTCTGCATGAAGCGGGGATGGCTTGGACCAAGTCTCATTATGGCCGTGCCTCTGACGAACACCTCCAAGGGAAAGGTGGTCCTCAAAGGTAATTTAACTTTCATTCGAAACGTAATGGTGTTGCTCTGAACAACATGAAGGGGCATTCTTCTATCCAATAACCTTAACACCATGTATAATCTTATGATCTATTTCAATCCATCGTCAAAAATTCTGATTATATCTATGTTTTTAAATATATACACGTACACCTTCAGTGCGTGCCAATTATGTTCATTGCGCTGTGGCTTGCTTTCATCGTCCAAATGCGGGGAAATTAATGACGTCTTGTTTTATGTGAAAATGCATTCTATTGAATTTAGGTTTTTTTTTCCTCTGTGGCCTAATTTTCATTAAGTTCTCATAAGTCTGTCAAGGGCAATTCTGGCTGTGATTTTGCTTCTTTCCAAAGCAACACAAACATTTATCATTCATTGGCAATTTGGGGTCGATATTTAACGTGCTATAATTTTGTCCATGACACACTATGACTTATTTTCTTATTTCCATTGCCAGGATGCCTTTACAAAGTCAAAGTACAGTATGTACAATCACCTAATAATTGGATCGCATTCCTCTCTCTCATCAGATATGAGCACATGGTGGGAATTCCTCATTCCCATGGCATTTGCCAGTCTGTAGGATAACCGCTGTTGACTTCCCATAATGAGGCACTGCATCAAGCCCTGACTGGGATTCGAACTCAGGTCTTCTACTCGTGAGTTGAGGACTCTTGTAAATGTACTGAGGGAAGAGGAGGGAGCGATGCACATGATGAGTGCACGGTGTGGACTCGGGAAACTTACCGAGGCTGGAGAGCAATGGGAATACCCACAGCCGGATGGTGCAATACCGTAAGATCGGCAGATTGTGTATGGTGTGGTCAAGTGTAGGCACTCACACCTCTCCCAAGACGTCTTGCCAAACATCAGAGTCGGCTAAATATCCTCTAGAGAGGTTTTCCAGTATTCCCTCCGCTGGAGGTCCTTCTGTTAACAGCGGCATGAGCAGGCAGTTGCAGGGCTGCACCTTTACCTGACGATGCATCGTAAATCTGCACGCTTCATTCCTCCTTTTGCCCTTTTTTATTTGACACTAGAGTTCCACGGGAGGGTGAAGGGACTGCAGCACATCCTGGAGTGGGTGCACGCGAGCGTGGCGGCTCGCATCGCCGCCGTGCGCAAGCCGGCGGAATTCTGGGACGAGTGGCGCAGGCCGGGCATGAGCGACGACGACGCCAAGGCAGGAAGGGGCGGCGGTGACGGCGGCAGCAGCGGCGGCAGTGGCGGCGGCAGAGGGAGCAACAAAGTGGGCGCCGGCAACAGCCGCGTCAAGGTCTTCCTGTTCGCCAACCTCGACCGGCCGCCCATGTTCCTGTCGGCCGTCAGCGTCAAGTTCACGGGGCGTGTGCGCTTCATCTTCGTCGACATGCGCAGCTGGCGCAAGGAGGACTATGAGCGGCGCGGGGAACTGAACCTTGCGCAAGCTGCCCGCGTACATCATCCAGACGCCCGAGGGCACGTACGAGTACGGCACACTGCGAGGCGAGCACTTCTCGCACCGCGCCCTCGACATCTTCCTGCGCTTCTTGCAGCCCGAGGTAAACGACTTGTTCGTGCTCAGCCTGGTGCTGGTGAATGCCGCCGCATGGATGGACCTCTTCATCACACAGGGTGCCACCATCAAGCGCTTCGTCGTGCTCATCAGCACCCTGGGCACCTACAACACGCTACTCATCCTGTCCTGGCTGCCCATCGTCGGCCTCCTGCAGCTGCCCCACCTGGACACGTTTTACGAGTACAGCCTGAAGTTTCTGCGCTTCACCAACACGACAAAGATAGCGTCGTGGGTGCGCACGGACTGGATGTTCTACTCGTCCCACCCCGCGATATTGCTGGGCACGTACCTGGCGCACGGCCTGATCGTCGACCTCATCGAGAAGAAACGCAAGCTGTCCGACGAGGACGACGAGATCCTGATGGAAAACAATCTGGACTGGCTGTCGAGTCTCTGGGAATATTATTCTAATTATTTGTTCCGCCCCATAGGCTCCTTCCCCAGCTACCCCACCAGTTTTTACGACGGCGACTTGGAGGACGGCATCGACATTTTGCTGGAGAGACTCGCCGTGCCGGACCTTTGGCTGCGACCGTCAATTTCGACCGATTATATAAAGTATCTGCCGACGTGGGAATTTAAGTGCACCGAACGGATTAAAACGCCGGCCCGTGCTGCCGCTTGTACACGCGCGCCCGGAACGGGCGCGGACGAGGGGTGCCGCCGCTGCTCTGCCTTGCGCGCAGACGACGACGGCGCCGCCACCGACGAACATTCACGCGAAAGCGGAGCAAGCCGCGTCCCCCCCCACGGTGCCTGCCCTTCGTGTAAATCCGCCGGGGCACGCGACGGATGTGACGGCGACGCCGCGCGTATCTCCCCTGTCTGTAGTAGAAACCCCGGACCGTGCGAGAGCGAATTTGGCCGCTGCGTTTGCGGACGAGCAGGAGGCGGTGAGCGCGGCGGGGCTGTCTCCGGCGGTTGGACTGAGTCGACGGGTCGCGAGGAGGCTGGAGCGCCGTCTGGGCAGCCCGACACAGACCCTCACGTTGTGGTAAGCAGACATTCATTTGTTCGTTCGTCATGTAGCTTGAGCCCATCTAGTCTCAAGAGTGAGTTTACGCCCTTTTTTTATAATATGTCCAGATATTTTAGCTTCATGCAGTCGAGCAAAATACATTTCAGCCTATTATAACCCAAAAGTTAACGTGTTTTCTTATTCGAAGGCGCACTCATTTTCTGTTAGGGGTGGGGAGGAAGCAGTCTCAAAATAAGGACTACCACTTTCGACTTCCCACAAAGTGGTACTTAATTTTACCACCCTGCTGGGAATTATGTATGTAAGTTAAACTTCTTTTGCACCATACGTAGACAACCGTGATAATCGGAAGTGTGAGATGATCGGCTGACTTAATCCACGATGTAGCTTCAAACGCATTATATTTCAGAAGGTTGCATGTCTTAGTTATATTCTTGTTCTTATTTTTTAAAGAGCACATTCTAAAATAAATGCAATTCTTTGTTGTCATAGCGATAAGTCAAGAAACATCGAATATATCCCTGCTCTCTGGGTCCGGTTTCCTAGGTGAAAAGTGGGCCACGGTCCCTGGCTCAATCCTGGCCAGCTCTGCTCCCAAACAAACCCCGCCAAAGGAGGCCACTGGAGGACCCGTGTCCAAACCGCAGTTTTGTTTCCGTGCCGCAGGCCGACAGCAGCGCCTCCGACTCGGAGGTCGAGCGGGAGGTGGAGGCCGACTGGTCGTGCTGGCCGCGGGGCTCGGTGCGCGGCTCCGAGTGCGTGGTGTGTCTCGAGGCCTACTCGCTGGGCTGCCTGCTCACGTGCCTGCCCTGCGGCCACGCCTTCCACGCTCGCTGCATTGCCGTCTGGCTCGAAGGCGGCCGCCACTGCTGCCCCGTGTGCCGCTGGCTCGCGTTCCGCGCGCGACCCCAGCAGGCCGCCCCCCCGGCTCCACCCGGCTCCACCCAGCACGCCGATTAAAGGGGAAACGTCACTCGTAAAATCCACCCATCCATCTGCCCCCTACCCACCCACCCACCCCCGCTGCCCCTCAAAGCGGGTGCACTTAGTGCACTACATGAAAGGTTGAATGAAATTCCTCTTTTCCACGGTACAACCGAGCCATGCAGGGCCCACGCCAATGCAGCCCAGTGCAGCTCAGGGAGGCGCCAGGTTGCTTTTCCACTGCAGAAGCCGGTGCCATGCTGCTAAAGTCGCACGCGATGAACGAGTTGGAGAGGCATGCAGATGACGCTGCCTTCCGTCTATTGAGTGATGTCACGCTTACGGGCTCCTCGCGGTACGGGTGGTTTTCCACTGGCTTGTTATTCGTGCTGAACGAGAACCAGGCCATGATGCCGCTGGCCTCACAAGAAATCTGAATCCAGCTCGGGGCCAAGCAGGGCCAGAGGCATTGCTAACCAACGCATTGCGTGCTGACGTCAACCGGCACAGCAACCCAGACACATCACCGCATCATCATCCTTGTGTGTCTGAGGCCGGTCATTGCAGTGTGATTCTGCAGTGGGGAAAAAATGTGACCCCTCCTGAGCTCTGCACCACCTTGGTTGTACATTGGAAAAGAGGAATAAGTGTGTGTTTGTCCGGCAAAGGTGCATCTATCAGTTTTACATCAGTGTCATTGGCTAGGAAACGAACCTAGGTGACCGTGATAATAGTGCAGTACGTTCCCCCTACATCAGCTCAACCAACAGCAAACTTGACTGCAGCCAGTCTATAAAGCTTAACGAATATCTTCGTGTCTTCAATCACTCCTATAACAAATACAAGCTTGCCTTGTGGCACTGTAATTGAGGGCAGTTCCTCAAACGAAGCATCGAACATTCATCATTGCCAAACGTAGATGAACGCAGCCCGACCATTTAACGTTAAGTGACAGGCATCGCAGAGCCTGTGCGCTAGCTGTGCTTTGCTTCCAGCGCACGTCAGGTGCGCTGATGAATAAAGCCACATACCCTGAGTGGGAGGAAGTAGATCAGCAGATCAGTGTAAGGGGACTTGGTGTTTGAATCGGCGTTGTCAGCAGTTCTTCTATTCCTGCAGTTGAACATAGTGAGCACATTCAAGAGCGTAACGCGAATTTAAGAGGTACTCAAGTTTGATCTTCGGTGAAATTTAGGTGAAAAGGACACACTTATCCCCCACGCCATGTTGAATGTAATCTTATAAATTATGCATGGAGCTGTCATGTCCTCATTGAGATACAAAGTGCGTTTCTGATGAGGGTTGATTTCCTTTCTAGTGCTCTGCTGAAATCTTTATTATTACTACTTTTCAGGTCTTACGTCACCCAGAATCAGAAATCTTTATTTAGACGGGAGGAATCCAATGAGCTATGAAGTTTTCTTTTTACAGATGTCCAGTGATGGGCGGGTCAGCAGAACGAATGCCCCAATTGACAGCCGGTAAAGGAGAAGTTCATAAGGGTTTTGATTCCTTACCCGTACCCGGCCGCACCAGGGTCGCAAACGGCTACCCGTACACTGGCCGGGTACGGGTAGCCGTACCCATACCCCACCAGGTATGGGTAGCCGGGTATCGGGTACGGGTATCGGGTACCCGATTGCGACCTCTGGGGCGTAGCCTTGAATACCGATGGAGGAATACTGCAAGAGCAGAAATTTGAGGTCAGGCGTTGACTTTGCAACAGCTGTGAGTCCTGACACAATGGAGAAAGCAGCGGTGACATCCGGAGGCATCGGCAGTATTGACCTTGATGACCTCTGGACCTTGAAGTCGCATAATAATGCAACTGTTAGGCCTATTTGTCGATTTTCTCCCAATCACGTGATGCATCTTAAGCTTTGACATGCTATTTCTTGTTCTTCTCTCCATTCTACACGTGTTGGTCTTCTCTGTTACATTTCGCTGGGGAAAAGAGTGATCTGAGCATCTGCATTATCTAATCATATAGGTTCTTTTTTCAGAGACGCCCCATCTCCCCACAGTTTAAGCCAGAAATAAATACCCGGATATTTCCTGTCTCTTTCATATAGGTTAGGCTCATATGATCTATGATTTTCTGTTACATTGCATAAACATGCACACATTCCGTGTGTGCCTTTCTACCACGTTCCATCAACTGCAACGGCATGCGGTGCATGCGATTGATTGCGTTCGTCGAGTCTGACGGAAAGGTTTTTCGGCACATTAACACGAGTAAATTTAAACGTGTCGGTTGTGAGTCTTTCAATTCGAATTAAAACTCCGTGCAGCATGCCACTGGTGCGTAAAAATGTGCTGTCCGCAGAAGGCTTGCAATTTGACCGCAATGCGAGTGTTCTTGATCAGAAGGGTTTATAAATCAACTCTCAGAATGCTCCAGTGGGTAATATGCATTAGTTTATTTTTCCAGTACAGCTGATTTGGCCGTGTGAGAATCCATCAAGCCCATGGCTGAGAAGATGTGCTTAGTGGCTGATATTTTGCATCTTGCTGTTCAGCCCCATACGATTTATTTTGCACTGAAATGGACCAACTTTATTGACACTGCTATAGCTGTTGGGGAAAGGCACTTGCACACGGTACTCACTTAGAATAATCGAGCTCAGACCACTTCCACCTTGACAGATGGAGTGGATGGTAATGTGATCCTATTTCCTATGTCGGCAGGAAAAACCCATCCTTCCAAGGTTACAGGTTTATATATGGAAGGAAAGCCATCTTGTGAAGAGACTTACAAAGGGTGTACTAAATCCAACCACTGTATTTCGTTCCCCAATCTATACAAATCAAAATAACTCAACCAATAATTATTGCCGGCATGTGCATCATTATCTAGCGTATTTTCGTTTGTCCTATCTGGGTAATCTGAATGTGTAGGTTGGTGAGAGATGGTAACTGTATACATTGGGCCGTTTGTTGAAATTTCTTCAGGCCTTGTTAGTTTAATATATTGGACTGCTATGATTGCATTATCATCCACATTGCATGGCAGTTTAAACTGCTGTGACAATGACCGGTAATAATCTACATTTTGCACAGCAGACTTAAAACTCATATTTCAATGGCCAGTACAAAGATGAACAGATAAAAGAAAAATTGACGGTGTAAAATGAACGTCTAGATTTATTTTCTAACTCAGGATTTCTATGTAGGTTTTGGTGTGACTAATGTAACTTGAACACTGTGCTTTTTGGTTTCCATTCCACGTGGAATGAGTGACGGGGAGGGAGGGAGGGGGGTCTGACAGGAGTGACAATATTTCTCGACATCCTGGCAAATCCCTTTTCCTCAAGGGAAACCATTCGTCAAGGACAGCTTGTCCAAGTGTTCCCTCTGCTTAAGCTATAAGCATTTAAATAGATTACGTTAAAAGAAAGTGTCACTCTGCATTTAAAATGTGCGAACGAGTTTAAAATGTGAGAAAGCATTAGTGGTCCGTGAACTGGAGGGAGAGTATTTTACAGTTTCTGCAAAAGGCTAATGAAAGTTGATTGTGATAATGTTCTTATCAAACAAGGTTTGTGCCAAATTCACTTTTATTGGCGATTTAAATGCGTTGGTAAAACTCTGTGTCTCCCATCTCAGGTACTACCAACAAGTCAAATGTTTGGTCTGGGCTCTTGGACTATAAAGACATAAATTTACCAAGAAAAATTATCTCTAATCTTTTTAGATTTGAAGCTTTCGTGACTGCAAGGATTCATATTCTTAGGTTTTTTCGGTAAAGTCACGTAGGTAAAACATTAAAAAAGTAAAATAAAATAAAAATCACGACGTTTCGGAGGCAACACAGGCTTCCGTCTTCAGGTGGTACCGTCACAGCCACGACAAGTACTTGATACAGCTGTCGTGGCTGTGACGGTACCACCTGAAGACGGAAGCTTGTGTTGCCTCCGAAACGTCGTGATTTTTATTTTATTTTATTTACTTTTTTAATGTTTTACCTACGTGACTTTACCGAAAAAACCTAAGAATATATCTCTAATCTTTTACCGCCGTTGACCACCTAAATGACGTGTATCATCCACGATGCGAGATGTATTCTTTGCGATTGTCAGAGTCTGTGTACCATTACAAACGAGACCACCGCAACACGTTATCCCACCGTTCCACATTGTGGCTGCAATGCTGTGAAGGCCACGTGAATCGGTGTCACCTTTTTGTAAAACGACGACGATGTGTTTTACGCCGGGTTTTTTTTCAGGGTCAAGGGCAGGTCAGTAGTGCCAGAATACGTGGATCGATTTCTAATTAGACCCAAGACCTTTCTAATAAAATACTGCTTGTAGAGCAATGGTCCAGTAGTGTGGGAGAGTTTGATGGGCCTGGGGTTAAGACTGGGTCTAACGTGAAATGAGATTACTATTGCGAGACCATGAAATTTAGAATTTCGCATTGACGTCCTCGAAAATCAATTCCGCCCAAAGCTACCTCGGTCAGTTGATTGCAGGCCATCGGTATTCAGACCTAACAACAGAGCAGCGAGTTTGCCTGGGGAGTGACCTGTGTGGGTTGAGAAATCACATTCGTAAATGCAAAGTTAATAATGATAACAAGACGTGGCAGCAGGAAGCGGCGTAGGTTCCGATTTTATTACCGTAACGAAGTTGCACACCGAGTGGAATTGACATCCCTTCACGGAACAACATTGGAATAGCTTGTACAACGTTGGCTCACTCCGATTTTTTTTGCACAGCGGAGGATATCCTCCCAGTTTATGTGTGCGAGTGCCTGAGAGTTGTGGTTGCAAAATATTGAAGGTATGTTGAACTTCTTTCGCACCTTGCATAGTCAACCATGCTAATCGGAGGTGTGTGGGGAAGGACACCAAACTAAACACAAAACAATAACACCAGAGTGCACTGATTGCGTTTTCGTTTTGTTCATTCACTTCACTTGAGTTCTTAAGTTGCCCCCCCGACCCCCCCACGGCTTGTTATGGCGTGCCGATTTCCGCGGTGATTACTGGAACACTCTCCAAGAATTAGAACAATGGAACTCTTGATTATGCTTTTATCATCGGGTACCAGGAAGAAGAAGAAACTAAAATTCCCATTCGAGTAATAAACACAATGTTCTGAAGTGCACGGCTCCACGTCGTTTATTTTCATGTTCTGTTAAAACCTGACACTTTTCGACAAAAAACTTGAGTTGGATTGTTTTTGCCCCGTTGGTCTTGTTATGAAACGTACACACAAATATTGCGTGTGTGGTGCATAAGAAGCTAGAACTTTGGACGATGTTCCTTTGTGAAACATTAAATACATACGTTTTAACGTTTCCTTCGACCTTTAATTGTAATCGGCAACAATCTGCTGCATGTCATCTTCTGATACTGTTATTGTTATACTCAGGCATTGCTCAGTCATTCCAACTTGAGCTTCAGACAAGCTGACTGGGACATTGGCTTTATTGTCTAACACGACGGATTGCAAGGCTCTTTGGAACGGACATGCAGTTTTTATTAGTGCTGTGAGCTCGAATCCAGAGATAAAATTCATCACTGCTCGCTTACACACATTGGCCAAAGCATGTGTTATACTGGTAGGAACCTCCTGGTTACACCAGCCCACAGGGGATTATTGTGTCCGTCGTGCAGGGAGGGAGGGGCTGGGTGGGGAGGGTGGGGAGGGTGTGGAGGGGCTGGGTGGGGAGGGTGTGGAGGGGCTGGGTGGGGAGGGTGTAGAGGGGCTGGGTGGGGAGGGTGTAGAGGAGCTGGGTGGGGAGGGTGTAGAGGAGCTGGGTGGGGAGGGTGTAGAGGGGCTGGGTGGGGAGGGTGTAGAGGGGCTGGGTGGGGAGGGTGTAGAGGGGCTGGGTGGGGAGGGCGTGGAGGGGCTGGGTGGGGAGGGTGTAGAGGGGCTGGGTGGGGAGGGTGTAGAGGGGCTGGGTGGGGAGGGTGTAGAGGGGCTGGGTGGGGAGGGTGTAGAGGGGCTGGGTGGGGAGGGTGTAGAGGGGCTGGGTGGGGAGGGTGTAGAGGGGCTGGGTGGGGAGGGTGTAGAGGGGCTGGGTGGGGAGGGTGTAGAGGGGCTGGGTGGGGAGGGTGTAGAGGGGCTGGGTGGGGAGGGTGTAGAGGGGCTGGGTGGGGAGGGGCTGGTCACCCCGTGGTGCCCTTATAAAACTCAACGTTTAACCTACTCACGCCGGCTTGTGCCCGTCCTCACAGTCGGGCATATTTGCGGAATACACCACGCCGCCGTTGACCCTGGCCATTGACCGAGCAACCCAATGTTCCTACCAGCTCCCTCAGCAGGAATGTGTTTGCTGGCAGAAAGCCAATGGGACAAATGTGAATGCAGTGACATTTCTTGCCACCCAGACTTGCAAAGTGTACATAGTTTGAGCCCTTGGGGAATGTTCTGTGTAGCCAGTGATCCATATATTGGCCTCGTTTTCATCGTTGCGTGGACATGGTCAATTATCTCGACTGTCATTTGACTGAAAAATCTCATTGGATCGTCTCAATTAACTCCGTTTAACAAATCTACAGTCTATTTGCAAGCAAAAAAACACATGTACGATTCTGTATAGCTGTTGCATACAAAATGCAGTTTTATTTAATGATGTGTCACCCCAATTTTCTAAATATTCATCGACTAAACAGGAAGTGTCTTCGGGTACCATCCCCACCACATCGTTACCGTTTTTTCTTACTGTAACCGAAACTCCACATGCAGAAGACAGGACTGGCAAAAAAGAAAATGTTCCCCCAAAAAAATTTAACTCGTAATTTCTTATACACCATCTTAGCAGATTGACGTCATGTAAAGCGATCTTTTAAGTTTCATGCGCTGTTTATAACATTTACGTGACAGCACTTTATCAACCCACTGCTGGATGAAGGCCTCCCCATGGTGTTTCGGTACCGGGGGTTCTTTGACCATACTTCACCACAACACTCAATGTGGGTTGGTGAAGGAGGGGTAGGAACAGGACTGGTTAAGATATTGCTTGCTCGCCACCAATATTAGCTATGGTTGGTAATCAACCTCAAGTCGGCGGGTTCGCTATAATTGCTGAGTTACCTCTCGCGCATATGTTGTTAACTCGTCATAAAATATAACTTGATGCGAAAGGTCTCTGCCATGATTGTGGCCTAAACATTGCTCTAAATTCTAAAGTGACAGTGTAAAAAAAATAACCCCACAATCTTCTTAGAAGCACGTTGGTTCATTCACTGACCCACGCAAACTGATGTTAATGATGTTATGGAAACAATCAGAATTAGCAATTAAAATGTATTGAACAAATACCAGCACAATCAACTTGCATGAACTTTATTGAGTGTCATTTGTGTAGTGCCGGTTCCCATATTGGTCCTGTCATGTTGCATCGACACAAAAACAATCCTCGCCTTATTAATCCCAACATGCCATGTTTCACCAACCACATTCCATTTACTCAACTAATGTTGGTTATTCTAGATCCCTTTTTACAGCCAAGCGACATCTCCTTGGCGAGAAAGTTAGACGCAACATATGATGTTGATTCCCTTTTCAGATCTATCTACGAGCCTGACCTGCACAGGGGTCCTGCCACTGTGACTGAAAGGCTTCTGCTACATCAATTGCAAATTCAGACGTGATTTTGTTTTATTGCATACAGCATTGTTGACGAAGCTGAGACGATTAAAAAATCACAACCTCGGACAGCAATTAAAAACCCAGGGGATGTTCGTGGCACCAATATTAGACAGCGCAGACAGCCAGTCATCTTCACTACAGTAATAACACAATTCTTATGACAAAAAAAGTTTAAACATTTTTCAAGCATGCTTCAAAGCAAAATGTTTTTGAATTGCAACTTCACATGTAAATGTGCAAGATATTGTGTTACAATAGCCACGTGGTAGCGAGCCAAGCAGGTTTGTGATTGGCCAAAATAAATGTGGTGGTGGTGTCAACACGTAACTCTTTGTATTAAAGGGCATAAATACGGATACAAATTACAAAGCGAAACGACAGGGATTTCGACACAACCTATCATACCTCTGGGATCGATACCAAAAAAAAGTACACCACAGAAGTCAGCAATCGTCGTTATGGTGAGACTGGCCTACGTGATGGAAATGTGGACCACCAACAGATGAGAGAGCGCCTTGTACGTCCAATGTTGCTCACACCTGAGTATACGGAGGGAGACGATGCCCACCTCATGTCCATGCTGGCCAGATGAGTTGGAAGAGGTGATGTTACCCACTTCGGCATGCGTTTCAGAATTGAATTTTTTCAGAAGTCAGATTTTCTGATATTTTAGTTTTTTGGGCCAAAACTTGGTTGTCGCATTTTTTTTATTTACTTTTGAATAACATTTAATAAAGTTATGTGTATGCATGGAATGTGATCATTTTTTTTATCATGAAATAACTTAATGATATTATTTTTACGTGAACAAGTAATATACATTTGCCGATTAAAAGCAAAAGGAGGCATGCGATGGCACTTTTGGCATAAAAGTATGGACGTAACTTCAAAAGTGAAGTTACTTAATATGACATCACATTACTGCGTAACTATGCCCCGTATTTTGAAAGTCGGATTAATAAAAGGTCAAACTGTTTCCCAAACAATCAAGCAACTTGCTCATAACTGCGGGCAGTTCCTTAGTGGGGGAAATTCCACACTCCCATGGCAGGGTCCAGTCTCCCCACAGGACAACTTTCCAAACCAGAAGTGATTCCCAATAACATTGGCTGCAGTGTACCCTACTGCAGATGCATAGAAAAATCAACAGCCGCTCAAGTGTTTCAACAACACTGACGAAGAGTCAAACCTCAGGGTTCAGACCCTCTGGGTGTGCAAATCTAACGAGCTTACCCTTCTGCATCACGGTAGCTTAAATATGTGCATCGAAAATAAACTACAGAATTACAGCAACACAATAAACCGTGCTTAATATGTCCTTATGGCAAAATTAGACAACACCTGCAACAAACATAAGTATATGCAGGAGTGTGCAAAGAGTGAAAGTGCCAAAAGTTAGGCATTCTATTGCAACATAGTTGATGAATACAAAATAGTTTTTGTTTTAACACGTTGTAATTCAAGTACATGTAACTTTCACAACCTGTACCATATGTTTTTCTTGACAATGCCACTGGCTAAAATTATATTACAAGCTCAATTTCCTACCTGGGTAGGCTCAGCCCATCACCCCCCCAGGGGTTGGTACATTGAGCATCAACTGGGGAGGCTGCACCACTTAGCGAGAAGTCGACAGCAGTTGTCCTCTGTACGATTCCTGCCAGAGGAAAACGGAATTTCCGCCACTGGCTCAGGTCAGTGGCGAGTGTTGTCCGATGCTTACATGAGCACTCACTTTTCTCGGGCGGTGAGGCTGCCGTTGTAAAGTGCAGTAAAGATAAAGGTACAGCACTGCAATTACTTGCTGAACCCACTGTTAATGGAAAGAACTCCACTAGGAGCTCTAGAGAGTCCTTCTAGAGGGTATTTTTGCCTACTCTCCCACGTCTTGAAAGAGGTGGAAGCACCCACACTCTAGCCCACCACACACTACCTGCTCATCGACTGCGGTTAACTCATTTACTGCTATTATTTTACCAGGTAAGGCCCATTGAGATATATAGCACTTTTTCAGAAGCGAGCTGGTCACAAATTATAGCTCAACGAAGTGGATTATCATTTGGAAATTTATATCAGCCAAATACTCTAAACTTATATTTCTAAAAGTGGAGGGAAAAACCGGAGGACCCGGATAAAAATCCACGCGTCCACGGGGAGAGAGACACGCAAACTCCAAATATACAGGCGTCAGGGTCGGGATCGAACCCACGACCTCCTACATACCAGGCGAGGGAGATAACATCTCAGACCCAGTAGGGAAATAGTAAGGGGGGGGGGGGGTTAAGAAACGTGTCCCATTGTTTCCACTGCTGTGCCATGAGATCGAATCGAACCAGCTGCCTCTGGACTGCAAACGCAGTGTGCTTAGTATTTCACCACGGGATTATCCATAGAGCACATTTCCAGTCACACACCTTTGATTTACAATGCCATCCCAGAAGGTATTTTAAATTACTTATATGCTACCAGGTAAATAGCCATTGATAAAACAGGTTTCGTGGATGGGGCAAACAGTTTGCTTTCAAAAAAAATATTTGTAAAGTTAGCTATATTTTACATTCGTACACGACAATTGACTTGTGCAAACCATTTTAAAGACTTAAAAATGTCCCCAATATTTAAAAACTGCCGTTTTACAGCCATAACATTACAGCCACAGCACAAGGTGAACAAACGTCCCGATCCTCCCGAGCCAAAAACCAAACTCTTCGTACGTCCAAGTCACAAGACACAAAAAACAAGGTGCTCTTGCCAAGCACGCTCAGAAGCTTCTCTGCAATGCAAGTCACGGACGGTAACCTGAGGGCGCACGTGCTCAGCATGGGTACCATGTGGATGGTCACGTGGGAGGTGGGGTAACAGGGCCAGTTCTCCCGCAATGGTTGGCGGTGGTACTTGAGGTTATCGAAATATGCGGCAGCGCCCCTCCGGAGTACCCACGTCTGGCGCCGCTGGCAGATTTTTCCTGTTTCAAATGAAGTTACGGGTTTCCCTCACTTCACGCGGTAGATGCGTTCCAAAAAAAAAGGGCGCACAAAGCAAAAAACCGCGTCGCAACACACCGCAGAATACAGCTGGCGACCGAGTAGCGTAAACAGTACATACGTGTTCCCACATCCTACCGCGTAGCCCAGGGGTGCCGCTACCGAAATAACAAGAAGAGTTTTTTTTTTCGAATTGGGTATAAAAAAAAAACTCAATATTTCAAGAGGCCCGCTATACACGTGAACACGAGACGGTCCTTAAAGAACCGCACGCGGCTCCGGAGCCACTTGCCGGCGAATTCAAACCGCATCCAGCAAATCTTTGGGTGGAAATAGGTTAGCCGTATGTGCAAAAAAAAAAAATCTCACCAACCGAACTGGCACAATAGCGTGTGCGGTGAAAGTTGACACCTCAGCCGCGTCTCTGTCCAGCCACATGTGAAGCTGCCCAGGAGCCACATGCGGCTGACGAGCCACAGTCTACCCCCCCCCTGCCCATCTTCCAGCAAGTATTAATAACAGTACCGCATCACTCCACTCAGAGACGTTGCCTGTCTCATTCAGCACTGTGCAATCCCCGAAACAAGCAACATCCTGCACCTCAGTCGTAAAACTCATTGAGCATCGTTTCTAAACATACAGCATTGTTTACGATGTGCGTCCCCATTTCCTATAAAATGCCAAACAAACACAACCTAAGCAAAGCATAATTGCTGTAAACTTTTCAAGATTGGTTTTAGTTTTCCCCACAAAAGATGATAAAATTGTAACAAAGCACTATTGAGAACGATCTAACCCTCCTTCACTTTTGGAGCTATGTAATAACATTACATTTGCATTCTACACACCACATAAAAGCCCTCATGTACACTACTAAAAACAACAAAGTGGAGAAAGACCAATATATGCATTACAATTCAGCTCAACTGCACCGCGATCCATTTATAGATACCCCATTCAAATAACGAATAAAATCTACACGCCCTCATTGCATCGTTTAACGCTCCCCTCTGCAAGACGCGGTGGCAAGACTTTCACAGCATTCACTTAGCTGTTGAGAAGTACAAGGATCATTATAAATCAATGGGGGGGGGGGGGGGGGTAGCTACAAATAGACAAGCGTTGCCACCTGTCCTGGTTTTCCCAGAATTCTCCTCCCGCTTGGAGGCAGCAGCTGTGCTGGGAAATCTGTCCGCCTGAGACATTAACACCGTTTGTGTCTGGTGTTTCAACATAATAGTAATAATAATACACCACACACTCAAGACAATACATTTTACATGTAATCATCCAGTCTTCTGATATTGAGATGTTCTTCTTCCCGTGGTATGTCCCAGCTTTATTGTACTATAGTGGATGGGGGGGCAACCCTGCCCTGTACAATGAAACCAGGGATAGTTGGTGTTTGACTGTAAACTGGTCTAACAAACGGATCTAAAATTTAACAAATAGTTTAACCAACCTGCTTTCCCTTCATTTTTCGTTTCATTTGGAATGTTTTCAAAGTTAGAAAACTCCTGCCTAAGCGCGAGCGCAACACACTCGTCGGTGCGTACCCTGCATCAGCTTCACCTTTCCTGCTCAAGGGCAGTCGTGTAAGGCACTCACCCAGGGGAGTACTTGAACAATAGCCCCTTATGTGCCAGCGACTCACTCAAGCGAAACGGCATTCACATCCCGCACGACAAACTCAAGGTTGAAGCAGTCAAATATTTCACGGAGACAGAGCTTTTACAATTGCACTGATGACAGATGCTAAGAGATTCTCATGATAGCTAGGCTGAAAGCACGATTCCATTGCTACAGTCGTACACAATTCCTCGCAGAATCGTGGCATCGTAGAGAAGCCGGGCTTCACGGAGCCAGGGTGCGGCACGCATCGGCTCCGATGCCTCTGTCATGATTAAATGGTAATTCTGGCTTATGCCACCCAGCTCGTATCAACCCAGGTTCCAGCCAGCCCATATTGATGATAATCGCCATTGAAACGTGCAGCTGAACAGCCTGTAGTTTGATGATATTTCACCATAATACTGTAAATTGAAAAATTATTGTTGGCCTTCATTAGTTTCTTCTTTATTCTCTCTATATTACGAGTGCAGTCATAATTATTAGCTTTTGTTGCATTTCCATTGAATTTTAACCTTTACTTTGAGAAGTTTCAATATAATAGGCGCTTTATAAAATATCGATTACACTGGTCAAAACACTTTTTCTGGCATAAGGTATTCCAACGGTTTTAAGGTAATTTTGGGGTGCTGATTCCAAATCTGGAATCAGTTTTTGTCTATCACATCAGGTTTTTGAGAAATCAAATATTGCATTTTCAATAAAAGCTGCAGAAGAAAAATATTAAATAAATGTGGATATCTACATAAAATGATATTATAAACACACTATCCTAAAAATACAGCACCATATTTTAACACTAAAGCAGTCACTGACTCGCAACAACTTGCAATCACAAGTGACAGAGTTAATTTCCGGTAAAATCAATGAAAATGGGGTACGCCGATAGCATAAAAATGAGATGTGATAGAGCAAATCTGAGATCAGACTTGGAATCAGCACCCTGAAATTAGTCTAAAACAGCTGCAAAAGTCCAGGCCAGAAAAAAATGTATTTTTTTTGTTGACTAGTGTTGTTATTATGTAATGTTCAACTGCTTCAATGGTGATCGCGGATTATACCAGCAGGCTTGGTACTGGGGGAAACCGCCGGGATTACTGCCGAGACCAGAACTACCACCGGCACCTCCCGCTATCGAGTCCCAATCGAGTCCCAATCGAATGGGACTCGAGCAAGTGCTGCCATCTTCCTTCAACTCAACGCGAGATTGTAGAGTCGGCATCGCCCATAGAAGAATCGCAGACACAACCCAGGGTGGAATTGTACGAATGGAATGCGATTCCTGAAAGAATCGCCCAGCTCTGACAGCTCGTTGAAGCAAATACAAATGGGGTAGGTTTACATCCTGATGAAACCTACATCTCCCCCATTGTTGGTAATGGAGCTATCAGCAAATGGTTGTCAAAAACTTGATGAAAATTTACATGTGTCAATACGCAAATTAGATTTATAATGTGCAGGAGTACAGTATGTGGTATTTACATCTGCGGATCATCCAAGTCGTCTGTTAACATTTAGATGACTAAATATTTGTTTTAACTATGATATGACATGATTAGAATGATATGTCATATTCAACTCACCTAAGGCATCACTACACGAACTACATTTGCTTCCCAGTTACATGATGTGTTTCCACTCCAATTAGCATATTGAATCGTCGATTAAAGTAATTAAATGTTTTAAATAAAAGCAATCCTAAAAAGTAATCAACCGGTACATTACATATTCTTGCTTCTTTCGGTAAAGTCACGTAGAAAGGGGAAATAATAAAATAATAAAAAATAAAACAATAACATTCTCACGACGTTTCCATTGCAACACGAGCAATCATCACCGGAAGAACCAAGAATATGAATTCCTGCAAGTCACGAAAGCTTCAAATCGGTACATTACAATTAACAGTAATCATTATTACAAGCTGAAATAAATAATATGCAAACTACCTTTGGTAACCCCATTCGTGTAATGTTCCTGAACTCTAAGCACAAGTGTAAACTAAGTCATGCTTTTCAAATGTCGAGCTTGCCCAACACTCAAGTGAATTCTCAAGCCATTTGGGCCAAGCCAACACCGGAGCCTATACAGTACGAGGTGTTTTTTTCCCCACTGGATATTTACCATATCTTGCTGGAACCAAACCGTGAAACCGTGGCCCACGTGACATCTGAATCTGGCTCGAGGCCAAGGAGAGCCAGGGAAAGGGGCTAACGATGCGTTCCATAGCGTGTGATGTCAGTCGGTGCTCTGTGAGGACACAGCGTCACCGTGTCATCTATACGCGACTTGACCAGTTTATTGCGTCCAGTGGAAAACACAACTTTGCGTCTCTAGAGCTGCACTGGGCTGGCTCGGCACGACCCTGGCATGGCCCCAGCATGGCTCTCGGCTCAGCTGTACAGTGGAGCATCAGTTAATGGGGATGAGGGCTTTTGCGTCAATTCTTGACACAAGTTCTTTTTTGATATCTTCTCCTTCTACCTTGTGCCAGCAGAAGCTGGGCTCCTTTACCACTGGAAGCTCGCAGCCACCGTCCGTTCCTGGCGTGTCCGCAGGGCAAGTGCTACCATCTTCACTCGCCTGCGTGAAGATTGCATGCATCATTTTCGATTCAAACTCACGGACATCCTCATCGTGCATTCGCGAAACAAATGAACGTCAGTGTTGTGGCATTTTCGTGCCATGAGATATGGCTAGGTTAAACTCAAGGTAGAAGACTGGAGAATGTGAAAACCATTACGCTACCATGAATGAAACATAATCTGCACCTTGACCGCAAAAGCTGCAAAATGTAAAAACTGTACCTAATTCACAATACAATAATAGGTAAAGGAGCAGCCCAGCAATTGCTTGCCCACATCACTGCTGACAGAAGGGCCTCCCTGAGAGGAAGCTCTAGAGAGCCCTTCTGCAGGGTATCTTGGTCTACTATTCCACGCTGGCCAGACATCTTGGAAGAGGTGGAAGGACCCATACTTCACCCCACTACATGTAACCTGCCAATCGACTGTGCTGAATTCATTTATACTGCTGGGTGAACAGAGGCAAGGGGGGAGGGGGGGGCGTAATTTGAGTAACTTGAACGGACAACTTCTGGACACCAAGTGTGCAAACTGTTGCAAAAACGACAGCATTCAAATGCATTCTATGTTAATACATTACCACCTGTAGCTCTCCGAGGAGTATAATGAACTCAAGTAAAACAAACTCACCAATGGCTTTGTGGGACTGATTGTGATCAGGATGTTGAAGCAGATCCCATCAGCACCACCGTCCACCCCACTTCCTGCCAAGTGCTGTATCCCCAGCAGCCCCAACATTCGGGCGTGAATCTTGGGGGGGCTGGGCCATACCTTCTGGAGCAGCCTGGTTAAGACAACACGGACACAGGCGGCATTTAACACGTTGAGCTCTCCGACGAATTCAGTGCCTGAGAAGCTCCCAGCGTGTGCAGCGAAACGTTGGACTTCGCGGCGAACAACACGGGTTCGATTCCCTTCCCTCAGCGTCATCTCAGTGATTCCTCATCAGCGCCACCATCATCATCATCATCAGCTATGGTCACTCCACTGCTGGATGTAAGCCTCCCCAAGCCTCCATCATCGTCAGGTATCGTCACTCGACTACTGGATGAAGGCCTCCTCCACCATCACCTGCCCCAGCAGCCTGGTTAAGGCTACATGGGGGATCTTTGTGTCCTTGTCTCCTTCAGAGACGCTGCTACTCATGGTGCCACGGTGGCAAGATATTAACTACCTCACCTGTTATACATGATGTCGTGGGTTCGATCGGTTGGCTATGTATGATACGAAAGAAGTTCAACATACATACATACACACGGTAGGACCTGAAAATACATCAGAGCTCTGAACGGCAGAATGGCGAAAACCTCCAGGATAGTTATACCACGTGCTGTTCGCCAAGTGCTACTCACTCACATACTATCTGACCGAATCACATTTCCGGATGGGGCACTCGGCTCACCAAAAGAAGGACAGGGATTCAAATGTCAGCTGGAGGTTGATTAAGCCTACCAACTCTGTGGGGAGTTCGATAAAAACAGGCAATACTTCGTGGCAAACTGGTAGGGTAATGGCCCCTGCCATGTGAATGTGGAATGTTCCGCCAATGGCTCAAGACCAATTGCTCATTTGAACACAGATAAAGTTTGATTAAATAATAAGAAAGTAAGAAGTTTAATACACTAATGATTCCTTGTAAAGAAATAAACTGTCGCATGTAAAACAGCATGCCGACTGGTATCGCTGTAAAAGCCATCCAGGTAAATTACGATAATAATAAAGAGTAATGATTTGTGAGGTTATGCCACTTAGTAAAGTATCTGAATTTCAACCAAAGGCTCAGAACTTCCTACAGAGATATACACTAACATATGCTTATTTGTGATATACAATACAATGCAATTTTCATTTATACATATAGAGCATCTAAATATGGTGGTGAGATTGTATCATCCTCGCCTAGTACGCAGGAGGTCGTGGGTTTGATTCCGACCCTACTCCCTCTGCCCGTGATCGCGTGGATTTTTCTTCAGGTCCGCCAGTTATGCCTTCAATATTTAGAAACATGCAATTACATTATTTGGTGGCTACTATAAATTCCCACATGATAAACCGCTATCATGCGTGGCCAGGTCACCTCTAAAAAAAGAGTTCATGGCTAAGTGGGCTTTACCTGCAAAATAAAATAGTTTAGTAGGCAACTGCATCACATGGGGACACATTTTGATATTGTCTTGCCTGGTAATTGCTGTCTGGATGCTGGAGGAGGCTTCTGCTTGTGATAACCCACAGACCGTCACGGGCAGGTGTGGATCTACTTCCTGGTCACCACATCCCAGTACATACACCATACCCTCTTCAATGCTGCAAAAACATACCGCACACACAAGAACAGACATTATACACTGAGCGACGGTGAACTTACCGTGATGCTTGTGCTAGAGTATGTGCACGCAAAAACCACGTGAAATGGCAAGATATTGCTGGCAGAAGCGATCAGGACAGACCCAGGTGTTATAGGTTAAAAGCATTGGGTAACTGGTTAAAACAAAACAAAGTATCCTCCGTTAAGCCATACAGGCTGCAGAAGTTGTGTTTGTCAACATCTATGACTGGCATTGAAGAACAAGGGTTGGTGTAGCTAGCACCCCATTCCTGACCAGCTTTGTCTCTCGAGTGCTGATGTTCGCGTAACCAAGGAAGTTCGCAAGACAGGTTCGGGCAACACTTGCCACTGATATTTCCTTGGCCTGGAAATCAAACATATGTCACCAAGTAGCATTCGTGTGTTTTTTCAGAATGTAACATTAACTTAAGTTAATTACTCAATTCAATGTTTAAGTATCCACAGAATTTTTAAGCTTTATGTGTATAAAGGTTGTCCCGGAGCAGGAAGTGATAGTACCAACAGTGATTTTGTTTTCATACTCTAACTCTGGCATAAACTAGATGTGAACAAGTCTGTTTTTTGAGTGAGAAAACATTTAGAATGCATAGGAATGCTTGGAATTGCTTCTGGCCTAATAGTAAAATATTAAATTAAATCACACTGTGCCTGTAGGGCCATACGAGGTATTTGTCCAAAGACAAATAACAAACCAAGGTTGCTACAATTGCACACAGCACGAACAAACACACCAATGTCCCCCACTCCCTACTCACACACGAAGACAAGGGTCCCACGAATGTACAAAAAGAGCGATGGGGCAAGTGCTGTTAACGAGCATCTATCAATGCCAGCGTGATGCATTGAGGGGATTGCCTTTGTAAAGTTTGTACACTGCATCGGATACACATTTAAAGCTGTGTCAACCAAGGAGAGGTCCAGAACAAGTTCAGTTATCACTCGCCATGGCAGGGAATCAAAAATAAGGTTTGCTGGTTTTTTTGTCGCAGTGCACCGCCCACTGCACAACCATTCCCCGCACACAAACACACAAACCCTTGCAAGGATCAGGCAAAACAGACAGCATTCAAACGACAGGCAGTAGCTCCCATTCCTGAAGCGACGACTTGAAACCCTTACCGAGGTGGCCACCACACCATGGTGGCGCGCAGGCACACAACTGGGCAAGGCAGCTCACTGGGTAGGGCGTGGGGGTGTCGTGGCAGCCTGGCATAGGCCACGGCGGCACCCACCAGCCCCAGCATGTCGCGCCCACGCAGGGGCAGCGGGCACACGCGGTCCCACCAACACGCCTGCAGAGACTCTTCGTCTGCTTCTGCCTCCGTTTTCAATTTGCCGCCTGCAATGCAACAGACGTATCTCGCGTGTCAGTCCCTCGATCGGGGGATATGAAGCCAATGTTGTACGTGTATGTATGTTTCCCTTCTTTCGCAACGTACCTAGCCAACCGTGCTTATCGGAGATACAGAGGAAAGGACAATAAACTAAACACAGAAAGCGGTTATAAATGAATTACTTTTCAATCTAGATTCAAAAGTACATAGCTCCGGTGGCTTATTATATCTCAAGGAAGAGCATTCCAGACAGCCGCACAAGCGCATCTGAAAGCGTGCGATGCGGTAACCGTGTTTGTTCGATGGCTAGCAAAAATCTGTTGCGAGGACGACCGGAGTTTGCGTGATGGTTTATGCTTCTTGATGAGATCAGCAGGGCCATGAAAGTTATTCTACCAAACTTCACCATGTTGAGTTGGTTGAGCCAAATAATTGCGTCAGGAGTAGCAGCGTGTATCGCCGTGATGATGCCTCCTTCGTATTTTAGTAAATGTTCCATGGTCTGTTCTGGGTCACCGCACTCCTACACTGACTAGAGAGGGTTTAATTTCCCATATGTGCATCAAGTATCAAGTAGGGTCTGTTCTCCTAGAACGCGTGTTTTCATAACGCGATTTGGCTATAATGCGATTAATGTATTCGGGAACAATGTTTTTATATTTCGATTTAAAGCTTTCGTGACTGCAGGGATTCATCTTCTTGGTTCTTTCGGTGAAGTCACGTAGAAGGGAAATAATAAAATAATAAAAATAAAACATAATAAAATTTAATTCTCACGACGTTTCGGCCACAACGCAAGCAGCCGTCCGCAGGTGAAGAACAGGTCTGTCGGAAAGACAGCGTCAGACGCTGTCTTTCCGACAGACGCTGTCTTTCCGACAGACCTGTTCTTCACCTGAGGACGGCTGCTTGCGTTGTGGCCGAAACGTCGTGAGAATTAAATTTTATTATGTTTAATTTGTATTCTTCTATTATTTCCCTTCTACGTGACTTTACCGAAAGAAACCAATAAAATGTTTTTATAATGCGTAAGCGAACTGGATATAACGCAATTCAGCTAACATAACTACGTTGAGCGAGTAGGAATAAGCGGTGGTACGGCTGCCTTGGCGTAGCATTGCACAAGGCGGGATGCTGCTGGATGCTTCGAGATGCTACCCACATGCCTCAATCTTAGTGCAGCCTGCATACGCATCTCACGTGTTAGCACGGACTAACGCTTTACCCTATATTATATATTACTAGCGGGAAGCACCCGGTGTTGCCCGGGGGGAAAATATATTGAGAAACTTCTCAAAACTTAAAAACATAACATATACAAATGAAAAAAAAACTTTGATCATTACCTCATTAATAAGAATTAAAATAAAACCCAACGCACAGTGGGAAAAAAACTTACGCTCGCACGCCAAGATTCGAATCTTTAGATCGCGCAAAGGAATCGAAGGTTGTAGATTTCTTTAGAATCGGGCTATTCCCGTTAAATCGATATCACAAACGCTCACCAGATATCGATTCTCGCCACACACTTCATGGACATTTCCCCCCCCCTTCCACAAAATACAAAAGTATTTTTTTACATTGTGTACAGTATGGGAGGTAGCCACGTGGCAAATTAAAAGTTTGTTACCTATTTCCCCCCCTCCCCAGCCGCGCATTTGTGCGGGGTACACGGCCTACGCGGAGAGTTGGGGGGGGGGGGTGCGTGACGTCAGCAGGCACACTGTGTCACGCTGCCGCATGCGGGTAACATGACAGAGATGTGACGTCACCACTCACTTGCATGCAAAATATATCCATTATTGCGCCCCCCCCCCCCCCCCCCCAAGAAAAATACAAAAGTCTATTTTTATAATGTCTGCATGGTGTACAGTCTGGAAAGTACCCACATGGCAAATTTCAAGTTTGTTGCATGTCGGGAAGTACGCGAAACATTTTGAACAGACACAGACATTCACAAATTTCCCTTTTATATATATAGAACAACTAATTTTTTTTCCCTAACGTGGTGTTCTTCAGGAACGCAACAACCGCGTTACAGGAGAACAGGCCTGTCTTATAAGATGCCCTCAGTTAGACTGTGAACGGGGTGTCCGTGCGTACTCACCTGTGACCGTGGCCAGGAACACAAAGCGGACCCATCGCGGGCCGCTCTCCTCCACCCTGAGCAGAGTGTAGGGTTCGCACTCGAGTCCGGTCTCCTCACGCACCTCACGCTGCAAGCCTTGCACCAGGCTCTCCCTCCGCTCGAGGCGGCCTGCCGGGAGGTACCACCGACCTCGACAGCTCGGCTTCGCCTCCTGGGTCAGCAGCACCTCGTTCTGAAATGAGGCGGGCACGTGATCATGGATCGAACGTACCTGGCTTGCAGCGCAGAAAATTGCATTGCTGTTTTGTACACCCCCCCCCCCACTACCTTCACCAACCCACACTAACCAGCATGGTGAAGTATGGTGAAATAACTTTCATGGCCCTGCTGATCTCGTCAAGGAGCATAAACCATGACGCAAACTCCGGTCATCCTCGCAACAGATTTTTGCTAGCCATCGGGTAAAGACGGTTACCGCATCGCGCGCTTTCAGATGCGCTTGTGCGGCTGTCTGGAATGCTCTTCCTTCAGATATAATGAGCCACTGGAGCTATGTACTTTTGAATCTAGATTGAAAATTCTTTCTTTAAAACAGCTTTTCGTGTTTAGTTTGTTGTCCTTCCCCACACCTCTGATGAGCACGGTCGGCTACATACGGTGCGAAAGAAGTTCAACATCATACATACATGGCCCGCATGAGGATATCGTATTCTACCGGATTGCATAACTTATGCAACGTTGAAAAAAACCAGCTAAATTCTAGAACTGTCCAGGTGTAACCCAGACATGTGGCAACATGAGTCAAGCTCACCCCACTCTCTGTCACTCGGCTCACATTCGAACATGAGAACACTTGTCACCATTGTTCAATGTCACCGTGCTCTTGGCAACCGTACGCCGTTGCGCACCTTGTCGTTGAGGATAACGGCAGCAATGATGTAGCAGACGTTGGTGCGCAGGGCGACGGCGTCGGTAGGAGCGCCCTGGGGGGGCGACACGTCGCTCTGCGTGTAGGGGACCGCCTGGCCCCTCAGCAGCACGGACAGCTCCTGCTCCAACAGCGGAGACACCCTCGCCATGCTGGCCCAGCCGACGTGGTGCTTGGTGGTGGTGGCGGCACTATACAGCATCCATCATCTGCGCGTTTAAAACACTATTAGTTATGGGCAATACTCTTCTTCTTCTTGGTTCTTTCGGTAAAAGTCACGTAGAAGGGAAATAATAAAATAATAATAAAGAAACATAATACAATAATTCTCACGACGTTTCGGGCACAACGCAAGCAGCCGTCCTCGGGTGAAGAACAGGTCTTCAGACGCTGTCTTCCCGACAGACCTGTTCTTCACCTGAGGACAGCTGCTTGCGTTGTGGCCGAAACGTCGTGAGAATTATTTTATTATGTTTAATTTTTATTATTTTATTATTTACCTTTTACGTGACTTTACCGAAAGAACCAAGAAGATTAATCCCTGCAGTCACGAAATCTTTAAATCGGCAATACTCTTTTCGCTCTCTCTCTCTCAGCGTGGTTGTGTCAAATGCATATAATCTATTTCTGATATGAATATGTAAATGTGTGTGTCATTGAATATTCAAATATATCAGCGATAACACCTATAATATTTAATTTCACCAACAATTATAGATGAACACTTTAATTTGCAATCGTTCACTATGGTGCTTAGTCTGGATAGCAAATATTGAGCTTGCATAATAAGGTCAAGTATATGTATATAAATGAGAGTTACACCATGCACAAATAACAGAGGGCAAACTGATTTAAACACGGGCACATGCTTTATAACTCTGCTTTAGAAGCAAATTGGGTCAATATTCATATTTTGCTGCACCTTTAAGGCACTGAAAATATTACATCAAATACATTGAAAACTTACATTCAGAACCTTTTATGCCGTTCAGAAAGATGAGCACGATAAGAATGTGAAGCATACGGTGGCAGATGAATAAATTGGTCCAAATATAGCGGCAACTGGATCTCCGTTCTAAAAACGCATTGTCATGTACTAGCTATACAAGCGTTGCAAACGCTCTGACACTCAAAGGCATTAACAAAATAACTTGGAACGATGCACTGCCGCAATGACATACAGTATTAACCGTGTACATTAATGGTGCATGAAGGAGACGTCCATAAATGACGTCACGCGATTTTGGACGATTTTTGACCCCCCCCCCCAACGTCACACGGCGTCACAAAAAGTCAGACCCCCCCCCCCTCAAATATGACGTCACAAAGCTCTGCCCCCCCCCCCCCCCCAAAAAAAAAAACATGCTTCAAATCGCTTTAAACTATTGTCATTGTAGTGCGTAATAATGTGGCGCTGCACTCTGATGTTGTAGGAGAAAACATTTATTAAAAAGTATATTTAATTAAGTAGAACGTACTAATAGGGGTTTCCCCTTTTTTTCTGGCAACAAAAACTGACACCTTTTGCAAGGAATCATGTCTACATTAACCGCAATACTTGCAGTCAAATGCAAACAAAAAACAATACTCTGGTAATGTATGCATTGTCTTTGAAACTGATTGGTCCACACCAGAGACAGCTATCTTTAGAGCCTAGTCTCATATGGTGTTCGACCAGATGACGCCAAAAGGCGGACAATGCATAAATTATCAGAGTATTTCGATTTAAAGCTTTCGTGACTGCAGGGGTTCATCTTCTTGGTTCTTTCGGTAAGGTAGACAGACTCTGTCTACTTGACAGATCTGTTCTCCACCTGAGGACGGCTGCTTGCGTTGTGGCCGAAACGTCGTGAGAATTATTTTATTATGTTTTATTTTTATAATTGTCCTTCTACGTGGCTTTACCGAAAGAACCAAGAAGATATCAGAGTATTGTTTTTTGTTTGCATTTCACTGCAAGTATTGTGGTTAATGTAAGCATGATTCCTTGCAAAAGGTGTCAGTTTTTTGTTGCCAGAAAAAAGGGGAAAACCCCTATTAGTATATTTTGGTACTGGCAAAGGAGGTCCCATGATGTAAGTAAAACGTGTTGTCTATATTTACTTAAAGTTGCGCATTTTGATGTGACGTCACATCTCTCAAACCCCCTCGTCACACATCGTCACAAATGTCTGACCCCCCCCCCCCCCCAGGTGCGTGACGTCATTTATGGACGGCCCCGAATGGCAATATTGACTGTTTGGCAGGAGTAACACATGTCCTTAATTGTGCACACATATGGCGTTGTTAGGACCCTTCAGCTATACACGTTTAAAAGCAGTATAAAGCTATAGAAATATGAAGCCACTTCTTCTTCTTGGTTCTTTCGGTAAAGTCACGTAGAAGGGAAGTAATAAAATAATAAAAATAAAACACAATAAAATAATTCTCACGACGTTTCGGCCACAACGCAAGCAGCCGTCCTCAGGTGAAAACCAGGTCCGTCGAGGCGACAGAGTCTGAATGAAACAGCACACGAGCTTGGAGCATATATATAAGCTGGGCGCCTTGACAAAGGAGTTTGCATATCAAGATGAATTTAGCATATTTATGGGAAATGCAGGAATGTGATTAGTACTACATATGCATGTGCATTATGCAGGATTAACAGCATCAAAGGGAGAGGATATGGGAAATGCAGGAATGTGATTAGTACTACATATGCATGTGCATTATGCAGGATTAACAGCATCAAAGGGAGCTGCAGTTTGCTGCTGCTGTGTGATTTTTCACCTTAGTTCCAGAATGGGTTCGGGCCATGATGAAGGGTACAAAGGTGGAATGAATCTGTGGAAATGTTTCAGCTCTGTAGACGAGGTGGTTATAATGGCGAAAATAATTAATTGAAGGGGGCAAGATTGGAGATAAAATCTGCAAGGGAAATACAATCGTTGAATGCTCAGCGGGATCAAAAGTGTGAAATGAAAAGGCGAATGACAAGCAGGATGAACTATTTATTTTCAAAATGTAACATTACAAACGGACAGCAACGTACCAATGTTTATACCGTACACAGTACCATGTTGGCATTGACATTTTCAAAGACAGCCAGCCACGTCAAAAGCCATAAATAAGGCGAGGCCTATTTTTCAACCATCATTGCCCTGTTATCAGGCTCCTATCTGGTTGATTACGTTCTTCCTGAGAATGCTAAATTTGAGAGAGAGATTAAACACAGAACCAGAAACATAGACAGACATATAAGCTGTCTGCTGTTATGTTATCCGACTCTCTGTTGTATTACATTACATTTCTAAGTATACTAGATTTGTGTTTCTATTTAATTTATACCTGATGATGATTGCTTGTGTTGCAATCGAAACGTCGTATGCTAGTATTTATTTTAATTTATTATTTTATCTTAATACGTGACTTTACCGAAAGAACCAAAGAATAATTCCTGCAGTCACGAAAGCTCCAAATTAAGTTTATTGCCATGAATTAACAGTGCCCAAATACAAATAGCCGCATTGTAAAATTACATATTTGCCGGTGCAATGTTCGCATTTGTTTAAAGACGATGATCAATCACCCAGTGTAATATACCCCCTCTGATGTATTGCATGTTATAGCCTGCTTCTAAACCACAACCGCTGGTAACAGTGCAATGAACCCGCCTTTGTTTAAATCCGCTGCTGGATATCAATCTCTCTCTGTGCCCCGTATCGGATAGCTTGAACACACTTAACCACTAGAACCTGATTTCACCACTAGAACCTGACTTCACCACTGGAACCTGACTTCACCACTGGAACCTGACTTCACCACTGGAACCTGACTTCACCACTAGAACCTGACTTCACCACTGGAACCTGACTTCACCACTAGAACCTGACTTCACCACTGGAACCTGACTTCACCACTGGAACCTGACTTCACCACTAGAACCTGACTTCACCACTGGAACCTGACTTCACCACTGGAACCTGACTTCACCACTAGAACCTGACTTCACCACTGGAACCTGACTTCACCACTGGAACCTGACTTCACCACTAGAACCTGACTTCACCACTGGAACCTGACTTCACCACTAGAACCTGACTTCACCACTGGAACCTGACTTCACCACTGGAACCTGACTTCACCACTAGAACCTGACTTCACCACTGGAACCTGACTTCACCACTGGAACCTGACTTCACCACTGGAACCTGACTTCACCACTGGAACCTGACTTCACCACTAGAACCTGACTTCACCACTAGAACCTGACTTCACCACTGGAACCTGACTTCACCACTAGAACCTGACTTCACCACTGGAACCTGACTTCCCCACTGGAACCTGACTTCACCACTAGAACCTGACTTCACCACTGGAACCTGACTTCACCACTGGAACCTGACTTCACCACAGCAACCTGACTTCACCACTGGAACCTGACTTCACCACAGGAACCTGACTTCACCACAGGAACCTGACTTCACCACTGGAACCTGACTTCACCACTAGAACCTGACTTCACCACTAGAACCTGACTTCACCACTGGAACCTGACTTCACCACAGGAACCTGACTTCACCACAGGAACCTGACTTCACCACAGGAACCTGACTTCACCACTAGAACCTGACTTCACCACTGGAACCTGACTTCACCACAGGAACCTGACTTCACCACAGGAACCTGACTTCACCACAGGAACCTGACTTCACAACTGGAACCTGACTTCACCACAGGAACCTGACATCACCACAGGAACCTGACTTCACCACAGGAACCTGACTTCACCACAGGAACCTGACTTCACAACTGGAACCTGACTTCACCACTGGAACCTGACTTCACCACAGGAACCTGACTTCACAACTGGAACCTGACTTTCAATTAAAGTTTGGTGAAGCATTTAGGGGGTCAAAGTGTCCTGGCTTGCCGTCGACCGTCCACTAAACTGGAATACTGTACTGCGATATTAGTGAGCGTTATTGATTATACCATCGATTACCATGGCAGCGATCACAACCATTACAACCACTTGATCTGCTCCACATTGATCAGCATTTACCACAACTGTTGTTTTTATTCTTGCTGTGGTTTTCACACCCGACGATGATGATGATGATTTCCTGTGTTGCAATCGAAACGTCGTAAGCATTTTATTGTTTTATTCTTTTATTATTTCCCTTCTACGTGACCTTAACCGAAAGAACCAAGAATATGAATACACCACTCGCAACACACACGCACACACTGACCGGGTCTTGACAATTAAACGTGAAGGCAGACTTGTTGCGATGTAGTAGAACACTTCGTCGTGGTCTGTGTCTCCCTCAAAGTGTCGAATTGTTTAGCGACGCACCACGTCAAATAGAAACGTCCGAGACGCGGGGCTAAACCACGCACTCTAAACACCTTTAATCACGCTAAACTACCACTATTGTGATCACTACTAGAGCTTACACCTTGACGGCATTGCGTATGTTAATGTAGAAGAGACCATAGTTGTTGTACGTGTGTGTATATATATATAAAATGTTAGACTTACACAAGACGCAGCAGCAGCGGCGGCGAATGTGGCAGATCGCCTCGCCGAGTTTGTTTACAAAAGGAGGAAGCCTCGGTCATTTGTGCCTCCGGATCAAAGGTTTTACCCTTCAGATCAGAGGTTTTACCCTCCAGATCAGAGGTTTTACCCTCTAGATGAGAGGTTTTACCCTCCAGATCAGAGGTTTTACCCTCCAGATCAGGTTTTACCCTCCAGATCAGAGGTTTTACCCTCGAGATCAGAGGTTTTTACCCTCCAGATGAGAGGTGTTACCCTCCAGATCAGAGGTTTTACCCTCCAGATCAGGTTTTACCCTCCAGATCAGAGGTTTTACCCTCTAGATGAGAGGTTTTACCCTCTAGATCAGAGGTTTTACCCTCCAGATGAGGTTTTACCCTCCAGATGAGGTTTTACCCTCCAGATCAGAGGTTTTACCCTCCAGATCAGAGGTTGTACCCTCCAGATCAGAGGTTTTACCCTCCAGATCAGGTTTTACCCTCCAGACCTCGATGTTTTACCCTCCAGATCAGAGGTTTTACCCTCCAGATCAGAGGTTTTATCCTCCAGATCAGATTTTACCCTCCAGATCAGAGGTTTAACCCTCCAGATCAGAGGTTTTACCCTCCAGACCTCGAGGTTTTACCCTCCAGACCTCGAGGTTTTACCCTCCAGATCAGAGGTTTTACCTCCAGATCAGAGGTTTTACCCTCCAGATCAGAGGTTTTACCTCCAGATCAGAGGTTTTACCCTCCAGATCAGAGGTTTTACCCTCCAGATCTCCAGATCAGAGGTTCTACCCTCCAGATCAGAGGTTTTACCTCCAGATCAGAGGTTTTACCCTCCAGATCAGAGGTTCTACCCTCCAGATCAGAGGTTTTACCCTCCAGATCAGAGGTTTTACCCTCCAGATCAGAGGTTTTACCCTCCAGACCTCGATGTTTTACCCTCCAGACCTCGAGGTTTTACTCTCCAGATCAGAGGTTTTACCCTCCAGATGAGGTTTTACCCTCCAGATCAGAGGTTTTACCCTCCAGATCAGGTTTTACCCTCCAGATCAGAGGTTTTATCCTCCAGATCAGAGGTTTTATCCTCCAGATCAGAGGTTTTATCCTCCAGATCAGAGGTTTTATCCTCCAGATCAGAGGTTTTACCCTCCAGATCAGAGGTTTTTACCCTCCAGATCAGAGGTTTTACCCTCCAGATCAGAGGATTTACCCTCCAAATGAGGTTTTACCCTCCAGAACAGAGGTTTTACCCTCCAAATGAGAGGTTTTACCCTCCAGATCAGAGGTTTTACCCTCCAGACCTCGAGGTTGTTGCCCTCTTTCATCAATCCCTACTGACGACTTCATCAGAGGCCTGTCGATGCCATCGGAAAATTCCCCATAAATGTGGTAACCAACAATCAAGAACAACCATTTAGAGGAATAGGTGACACAGCTGTATTTTCCAATTAATTTAATACGGTACTGTATTGTAACAAAATTCACAGTGTCCTGTTTTACGTGGAGTTAAATCATAAACACACACATCTGTTTCAGCAAAAACATGTTTTATCTTGCTGTGGTTTTCCCACCTGATGATTGCTTGTATTCTTGGTTCTTTCGGTAAAGTCACGCAGACGGGAAATAATAAAATAATGAAAATAAAACAATAAAATTCTCATGACGTTTAGACTTCAACACAAGCAATCATCATCAGTCATAATCAACGTTTTTGGGTTTAGATCGCGTAATGTATAAATGTGTCGTAACCCTCCACCACCCGACACGGCCAATCAGTAAAAAAGTGTCACGTTGACAAAAGACAAATTAGTTCACTGCTTTAGCCCACCGGTGTGTTGAAGCGCAAAACCACAACATTTACAATTTGAGTAAGACGTTTCGCTGGTAATTGCATCCAGCATCATCGGGCAATTCGCCTACGTGTTAAATCATCATCAGGTTGGGAAAACCCACAGCAAGAAAAAAAAATGTTTTTCTGAATTTTTTTTGCAGAATTTTTTTTTCTGTGGTTTTCCCACCTGTCGACGATTGCTCGTGTTGCAGTCGAAACGTCGTAAGTCGAGTTGTGCGTAAGTCGGAGTGTTCGTAAGCAGAGGAGCCCTCCCGTGCGAGGCAGAGGTCGCAAACGTGTTTTTATTTCTTACCCGCCCAGCCATTGCCTGCAGAGGGTACCCGTACCCGGTGACCTTCATGAAATCCTATACCCGGCCGACTACCCGGCACATGATCGAACTTAAGCAGTGTCTGGCAGTCAATAATGGTCCAGAGTCCTTTTATTATCGACTATTTTGGGACGAATAGGCTCTAGTACAGGTCCGGGTTGGACTGAATGACCATGAAATTGTCCAATGCCGACGGCGAAAGCATTGTGCGTCGCTTGCAGAAGGTGTTGCTGACTGCGGACAAGTTGCACTCGGCTATGGAGCTGGAAGCAGGAATGCAGAGCACCGACCGTGCCACGCGAGCCATGATCGGCAGCTGAGCAGCAATCGTCGCGTGCACAGACGTACCGCGCATTCGCCACCATGTCAAAATGCCGTCGCTCGTGTCGAGCAACTTCTTCTCCGCCTTGGACAATTTGATTTGGCGGTAAGCGGCCAGCTCCCGATCGACCTCATCCTCCAGACTCAACGCAGCGTCGTGGGCTTGAGCGCCCCGGTCCTCATCTTCGTCAGACTCCGACGAAGATGAGTAACGACTGGAGCTCGCCGCTTGGAACGGGTCGACGGTGCGTGAGGACCTAGGGCGCTTCGCCGGACGCTCGTCTTCGTATTCCGCGCGGTCAGCTTGTGATTTCCCAATAACAATCATCATGGCTCTCAGCTGTTTGATCGCTGCTTGTTCTTGGGCAAGGGTGACGCCGAACTTGGCCAGGCGCTTCTGCAAGCCGGGGTCCAGGAGGGCGCCGACAATGACCATGGGCTCCAAAGTCCACTTGGCGTCCTGCGTCTGATCCAGCAGCAGCATCTTGATGGCCGCAATGTCGTCCGAGTCGCTCTGCCGGACGGCAAGATGCTGCAACAAGACGTGCCTCTCGTAGACGACTGTGTGGATCGTGGGCGACTTGAACACCTCGAGTCTGAGCGTTGCAATGCGGAACGGTTCCATGAACTCCACCAGGTCCGCCAGGTTTTGCTTGTTGATGCGGCCGATCTTCTGAAGCTGTTTCCGCTCGAACAGCGTCGTCGCTACCTCGTCGTACGACTCCAGGACGCTGTTCAGACAGGTCAGCAGTGAATTCCAACTGGTGGCGTTCTCCTGCTTCAAGCTCTTGGTCAGCTTACACTGCAGCTTTGCCTGCTTGAAGTAGGCGACCAACGCCTTGCAGTCGTCGATGAGGTCGAATAGGTCCTTGGCGCAGTCGTAGTTCCGGTAGAACGGCAGAGATTGAACCCCGTTGACGGTCTCCGTGGTCTTCGACAGAACGGTGCTCAGCACGGAGGCCAGCTTGTGGTCAAGGCACGGCCCCCAGCCGTAATACGACGAGCGCACGCCGTTCTCGGCGGACATGTTGTAGGAGCCGTCGTCTGAAACGACGAAGCATTTCGCCGGGTCCAGGATCTGGTACGATTCGAGACATTCAATCAGCGCCGTCTTGATCGCCACCGCCGTGTGCCGTTCCGCATAGAACGCTTTGCATCGCAGCGTCCGTGCGTGCAGCACGAACGAGTCGTCGACGTAGTGGACGGTGACTGACATGAAGCATCGCTTCTTCAACGTGTCCGTCCACAGGTCGGTCGTGGCTGCCACGTGCAAGCCGTCGTCCACGTGGGCCTGAACGATCTGGCGAATCGCAGCACGAGCGCGCTCAGCTCCTTTGCTCCACGTGATTCTTGACTGTGTTCGCAGCAGGCAGCAGGTCGTCCAAATCGGGAGGGCGCATCAGGCTGACGCCAATGTCGATCAGGTCGGCAACGAGTCCGCGGAAGCCGGTGTCTTCGACAACGCTGAACGGTTGAGTGTCCGTGGCGCAGAAGAACGCGAGCGACCTCTTGACTTTGGCCTTGTCTGCTAGGCGGGCAGGTGTCTTGTGCACGAAGGGACGGAGAAAACTCGCCTGACCGACTGCACTTGATGACGTTTCCGATCCGCACGTGTGCTTCTTGAGTGTTGTTGTGCCATTGCTCGTCTGGTACGCGTAGACCGCCAGACAGTCGAGACAGGCGGCGAAACTGTTGCGTTCGAAAACGATCCCATTGCAAGGCAACGGCGACGAATGCTGATGCCAATGTTTGCTGTCGCCGTTCGCCGCGTCCGTCAGCCGAATGAAAGCGAACTTCTTCCAAACATCCGACGAAAACTTGCCCGAGGTTGTCTCAAAGCGGAACCTGCACAGACTGGCGTCTAAGCCCTCCGCCTTCTCCTTCCTGATGGCCTTCTGCAGACTGTTCTTCACCGACTCCAACGACGTCCAGTCAATGGGATCGACAGTAGGGTCGATCGGCAAAGAAGAGGAAGAGGAGAAGGAGGAGGAGAAGGAGGAAGATGAAGCCATGTTGCAGGGCGCGGGTGGGAGAAAAGACTTCAGGGAAATGAGTGACAAAAGGTGACTCACCAGTGACTCACGGGCCCTGCTCACTCATTGGTTGGGGTGAGTCACGTGCGGCTACCCGCACCCGGGTACGGGTAGCCGGGTACCCGGGTATCCGGCCGGGTACTCGTCTCCCACCATCTCTCTCTCGTCTTCATCATCTCACACCATCTCTCTCGTCTTCATCATCTCCCATCATCTCCCGTCTTCATCATCTCCCACCATCTCTCTCTCGTCTTCATCATCTCCTCCCATCATCTCACACCATCATCTCTCGTCTTCATCATCTCCCACCATCTCTCTCTCGTCTTCATCATCTCCTCCCATCATCTCACACCATCATCTCTCGTCTTCATCATCTCCCACCATCTCTCTCTCGTCTTCATCATCTCACACCATCATCTCTCGTCTTCATCATCTCCCACCATCTCTCTCTCGTCACCGGGTATCGGGTACCCGGCTGCAATCTCTGGTGCGAGGGGGGAAAAAAAACCTCTGATCTGGCACCGCGGTCACGCCGCGATGGGTGGGACAGCGGTGGCGGCGTTACGCGTCGCCCTCTGATGGCGTCACCACCACGCCGCTCGCAGCCGCCGCTGCTGCTGCTGTTGTTGTTGTTGTCAAAGACCCGTCGTGTCCTCTGGTTCCCTCCTCCTCCTCCGCCTCCGTCTCACTCGTAGTCCACGATCGGTGATTCGCTCGATCGATTTTGACTCCCGGCCGAGTTGCATTCGTCTGGGGGCCATCGCTCAACGGGCCCTCTCATCCCCATCTCTCTCTCGTCAGTCTCTCACGTTCTCTTCCACGACACTAGCCCCCCCCCCCCCCGTCTTCCCACCATCTCCCATCATCTCTCGTCATCTCTCACCATCTCTCTCGTCTTCATCTCCTCCCCGTCTCCCACCATCTCTCTCTCGTCTTCATCTCCCATCATCTCTCGTCTTCATCATCTCCCACCATCTCTCTCCCGTCTTCATATCCCATCATCTCACACCATCTCTCTCTCGTCTTCATCATCTCCCACCATCTCTCTCGTCTTCATCATCTCCCACCATATCCCACCATCTCTCTCGTCTTCATCATCTCCCACCATCTCTCTCCCGTCTTCATCTCCCATCATCTCCCACCATCTCTCTCTCGTCTTCATCATCTCCCACCATCTCTCTCGTCTTCATCTCCTCCCCGTCTCCCACCATCTCTCTCTCGTCTTCATCATCTCGCACCATCTCTCTCTCGTCTTCATCTCCCACCATCTCTCACCATCTCTCTCGTCTTCATCATCTCCCATCATCTCACACCATCTCTCTCGTCTTCATCATCTCCCACCATATCCCACCATCTCTCTCTCGTCTACATCATCTCCCACCATCTCTATCTCGTCTTCATCTCCCATCATCTCTCACCATCTCTCTCGTCTTCATCTCCCATCATCTCACACCATCTCTCTCGTCTTCATCATCTCCCACCATATCCCACCATCTCTCTCTCGTCTACATCATCTCCCACCATCTCTATCTCGTCTTCATCATCTCCCACCATCTCTCTCGTCTTCATCATCTCACACCATCTCTCTCGTCTTCATCATCTCCAATCATCTCACACCATCTCTCTCGTCTTCATCATCTCCCATCATCTCTATCTCGTCTTCATCATCTCCCACCATCTCTCTCGTCTTCATCATCTCCCACCATCTCTCTCTCGTCTTCATCATCATCTCACCATCTCCCTGTCCGACATCTCCCCCTGTTGTTGTACCACTCCAATCGTGGACCATCCCAACCCGCGTCAATCCCCCCCACCCCCCGTCCCCCGTGTGTATCAGCAGGTTGTCGTGTTGGTGTTGATCGTTGAGCTCGGGTCGTCGAGACCACGTGGAGGAAGATGTCCCACGCGATCCAGACTCTGTCGAAGCTGCTGGACATCGTGGCTCGGTTAATGCAACAGGTGACGGCCACAAACTCCACTTGTGTGCAACCCACGAAGGCTGTCACGGATTCTAGCGATTACCTTTGGATATCTGTGAAAAAGAGCTTCATAGATTATCAGATTCCTCCAGTGTAAATACGTGTTCTGATGTTTTCGCAGTGGGGGTGTTGGGGGTGGGTATCAGCTGTGTATAATCCAAATTGAGTGAATCTGCGGGTGTTTTTCGCTCTATTCAAATTTAGACCAATGACGCATTTGAATGAAGTGGATGTGGAAGTCATATTCTTAGGTTTTTTCGGTAAAGTCACGTAGGTAAAAACATTAAAATTAATGTTTAGTTGTCACAAACCATAACAAAGGCTCACCCTCTTTAGCCTCACCCTACCATGTGAATAAAAAGTGTGTTGTACTTGGCCCTTCCCCCCTCTCCAACCATTATATAAACGGAGTGGTAGCTCCTGCAATCTCTCATTTACTTGATACAGCTGTCGTGGCTGTGACGGTTCCACCTGAAGACGGAAGCTTGTGTTGCCTCCGAAACGTCGTGATTTTTATTTTATTTTACTTTTATTAATTTTAATGTTTTTACCTACATGACTTTACCGAAAAAACCTAAGAATATGGATGCAAACGGCGCGTCGTATATCGCGGTTAATAAACCCCGCAGTATTAATTGGGGCGGCCGCTGGATTCGAACCCGTGATGCGAAACGCGTTTAAAGCAGCAGCAGCAGGGCCCATGTCGCACACAGAGCCCCAGGGTGTTCAGAATCAGATCAGAAAGGGTTTTATTCACCATGAAAGTTTGCACAAACAAGGAATTTACTATGGCAGGAAGGTGCATACATTCAACATATAGGAATCTTAAAACTTAAATAAGTGGTATACAGTCTAACTATACTAAAATTACAAAGTCTAACTAATACTCAGGGGCTAAAGTATGTAAAATTTTGAATAAGTATACAATATCAAATGTAAACTAGCCGTAATATACAATACAAAAATACAAATAGGGTAACATGTTGTAAATATGGCAAGGTGTAATTTTGTAGATAAAATGTTAAAGTAAGTGTAAAAGTCATTTTAAGCCCTTGGCCTTGCTGAAGAGGCCCACAGCGGATGGGAAGAAACTGTTTTTATGACGTGAGGTTTTGGTCCTGATGGACTGCAGCCTTCTGCCGCGATGGATTAATTGTTATGTGTGGGTGTTTGCATCAGGGTGAGTTTAACTGGAGTGTGTGAAGTCAGGCTGGGTTTGTTTTGTTACGGTGATTGGATCACAATTGGCAGGTTGGGATTAATTGCATTGGGTGCGTGAACTAGGTGTCGGTTTTATTTTATTGGGGCTTTAGAGTCGGTGGGTTTAATGTCACTGGGGTATCAGAGAGTATCTGCGAGATTTTTACTTAATCGTCTGTTTTGAGGTTCAGAAAAGTGGATTTAGTGCCCATATTCTGGCTTAGATGTGCATTATTTTTAAGATGTATATTTAGAGTTTTCTAAATATATATTTTGTATATATTTATGTGATGTCTGAAATGTGTTTGTTTAAAATTAATGAGTGGGTTGACTATTTTCATAATCTGTGTTTTATGTGAGTGGTGTTGGAAGTCAACCTTTTAATTCTATATGCATTGTTTTATATGAAAAATATATATATTTTTTGATCACCCAGAGATGGCATATTGAAATTTAATAATCGTTTCTGGTGGGGTAAAATGAAAGTACACCCACAATTTAGGTCGCTATTCCCTTTGGGAAAAGTAGGCCTTAGATTGCTCTACACAGCAGTGAATAGGTAATGGATAATTCTGTAATACGGTACAGCATATGACATACCTCACTGCCGTGTGACTGACCTCTTACTATCTTCCATGTGTTACCTAGTGGCAAGTTGTATCAACAGAGGGCAGTCCAGGGTGCTCAAACTTCTATGCTCTCCACGTTAACCAACCCGCACAGGCCGGCGTGGTGAAGTATGGTCAAATAGGGACGCCCCACGGTGGCAAGATGTGAACTACCTCGCCTGGTATACAGGAGGTCGTGGATTCCATCCCAACCCTGATGCCTGCTGTATATTTGGAGTTTGCATGTTCTCCCCGTGTTTGCATGGATTTTTCTCAACGTCCTTCAGTTTTCCTCTCCACATCTATAATCAATGTGCATTCAGAGTATTTTGCTGCTGTAAATTTCCACGTGATAAGCCATTTCGTCGGGCTATCATTTGTGGCCAGGTCGTTTCTGAAAAAGAGCTACATAGCTCAGTGGGACGCCATTATCCAGCAACAGATTGACACAAGACCTGTGTACATGTACACACCAGCAAGCCACCAGCTGAAAGTGCCCTTTGCCTACGATAGTGGCTGTGACTGATTGCAGCTAACCTGCCTGTTTTCTCCACAGCTTGGATTAAGTGAGGATGCGGTGAAGCTCTGCATCAACTATGAGAAGCTTGGCGAGGGCTGTGGTCTGGACACGCTGTCCCAAGCTCTGCAAGTGCACATGGCAGCCCTGAATGTTTGTACAGAGAACGCTATGCAGAATACATAACATGCACCGTTTGTAAACACTTGTACAAAGCCAGACACCAAACACAGCTCCAACCGAGCATAACGCGCGTGTGTGGTCAAGGGGGGAGTGTGGTTAGCAACTGGCCAATGTGTATGTCAACAAGGGTGTTGTTGAAGCAAGCGGCTTCTGCATCATCTATGTAGCTTTTGCAATAGCAAAGCAGTATCGTTCTTTATGCTGTTAAGGTTGAAGTGTAAATGCATGGAAGCTCCCAGTTCGTGGAGTGAAACGTTGGGACATAATGCTGAACAACCCCAAAACAGCGCTATGCAATACAGCTGCATAAGGCTACCTCGTCGTTGTTTACCAGTACATAGTGGTAGAGTGGTACCTGGGTATACGTCGTTAATTCGTTCCAGAAGGTAGGACCTAAACCGAAAATGACGTCTACCAAACGAATTTTTCCCATAAGAAATAAAGGGTTAGGAAATAATCAGTTCCAGAGTATAATAAATGATATTTTATATGGCATGTTATACATTAATGGGGTTGTATAAAATAATTTAGACACTACTTATTACTAAAATGCATACATAAATTAAAATAAATGCATAAATAAATTAAAATAAATAGAAATAAAAGTAAAATTTAACATCACTTTACCTTGCTGAGAGGAGTTGAATGAATTCGCCAAAAATTCACGTTAAAATGACAAAGAACACGTGAAAATTCACGGAGAATTCTAGCAAGGGTTGTGCACTGAACGAGATCTACTGTACAGGCAGACTGAGGAGCGGCGCTTTGTTTCAGTCGTGAACGGGGGTCTACGCGGGGTCTACGCGGTGACTCATCCCGACCCATACAAGTTCTAGCAAGCGCGTCGTATCCCAAGCCAGACGTCGTATCCCAAGACATTTTTTTCTCGTCAAAACACGGCGTGTACCAAATTCGACGTATACCGAGGTGTGACTGTACTTGGAAATTGTTACCGTCTCGTTAACGGATTGGGCAGTGCATGAACGCAGCAACCGGAGCGAGTGCCTCTGCCTGCTGTTCCTTCTCCCACTCAGGAACTTCAGCAGAATCTGGGAGAGGCAAACCCAGAGCCCATTGACGTTGACAGCCCAGAACCAAAACCCCGCGTGGGAAAACCTCCAGAAGCCTCGCCACCTACCGCTCGGCCCAAGACAGATGACCTTGAGCCTAAACTTGTGCAGATCCAAGCTAGAAAAGCAGAGGTACGTTCGCCCACAATTTACCTATCCCGAACTCTTTACATGAAGGACAATCTACTAATCCGGGGTGGTGTTTGAAGCTCATAATGAGTCTTAAACGGCTCCGTGGTGTGTATTCTTTGACTTCACTTATCAGCTTATACAGATGTTGGCGGAGGGTCATTTGAGCATTTTTCCATTGCTCTGCTGGGTTTAAATGGCCGTCGGCTTTTACATGTGAATCGCACCCGTGTGTGTTTTATGAGCGCTATCCGTGCGCATTCCTGCTCGTGCGTTTTGTTGGTGTGCTCCTTGTAGATTGATAGAAGGATAATGGCCTTTATGGAAAGGAAACAGCTGGAGGTGAATGAAAACAACATCAGGGAGTTCTGTAACGTCATCAGCTCAAACCAAGGTCAGTTCCATCTCCTTTAGCTGTATTGTCACACTCTTAGGTTTTTCCGGTAAAGTCACGTAGGTAAAAAATAATAACAATAAAATAATAATAAATGAAAATAACTCAATTAAATCACGACGTTTCGGAGGCAACACAAGTCTCCATCTTCAGGTGGGACCGTCACAGCCAAATTTACTGTATGATACATTTATTTTATTATTATTCTTTTTTACCTACGTGACTGTACCGAAAAAACCTAAGAGTATGAATCCTTGCAGTCACGAAAGCTTCAAATCTAGAATGTATTGTCACACATAAATGTAAAATAATCCATGCCAAGTCTCACATAGTTTTTTTTATTTTAGTTTAGGAAACCTGCTACCATGTGTACAAGGAGATCATTCTCAGGATGAACACATGAGAAACCCTACTTGCTCTACTTACTTCGTTATGTGCTGATTAGGAGGACAAGTAATACTACATTAACAGGCGTATGTTTCACAAATGCAATTTTATAAAGATAACAGGTCCATTACCCCATGGGGTAAATATTGCTCAAGATGATCTATTGGCTGGCAGAATGAAATGTATTTTGTTTGGGCATGTGTTACTTATTACTTTCTTTGTTAACTTCCACGGAAACCTCTTTGTCCTGCATGTTTGTGTTTCACTTGTGGTCCATCTTGGCGTGGTCCACTAACCCGTCCTCTGCTGTCTTTTCTGGCATTGGATTTCCACTGCATTTCCACAGACATGGATGAGCCTGCTCATTCTGGTTATTTAACCAATCAACATTTTGTTCCCGTTTAGAAAACAGCTGTGCCAGGACAGATGCTGTATTCACACCACGGCCTGGAAGCATAAGCCACATTAAAGGTACCTTTACGGAAAGTTACATTCAAGGCACACTTATTCTGTCAGCAGCAGCAGCCACGGTCTATTCACTGCTGGATGAACGCCTCTCCAAGCCAGGGTTGCGATTTGCGCACCAATTTCCGCAAACATGCTGTTTTCGACCGCATTTCGCGGTAGTGTCTGTGACCCTCTTCCGCACAAATTTCCGCAATTTGCGGTGATTCCTGGGAAGACTTCCGCAAATCGTGACTTCGATTCCCGCCTATACCGGTGCCGTACTCGCGCGGTTGGCGCACATATCTCGCGTCTACCCACTTGCCTCTGCCGTAGCTACTCTATACCTCCTGCAAATAAATACACTTTACTGCTAACGATAATAGCTCATAACATCACACACAGATTCAAAAATAAGCAGCACCCCCACCACCAAGAGCAAGCCTATCGTCCTCGAGCGCTGGTTCCTCGGCCGCCTGTGCTCTCATTGGTGGCTGGGCTGAGACCACCAACTCACTACTCTTGAGAACCCAGTTTCAGCACGGGCAGTTGCCAGGGTTTTTAATCCAGGATCTCAGCAGTGCCAGCTAAAAGCTCTGACCTGTGACTATATACAGTAATGCCCCAGTTTGCATCGGGGATGCGTTCCTGAAAGGTGCGACAACGAATATCAAAGAGACGTCAATCAACGCAATTTATAGGGTAGGTGGTGGAGGCGAAGGCTGAGAGGCGACATAACGAGAAAGGATGGACGATGTTGTGTCAGCGACGTGTGGGGTTGAGGCGACGAAAATTGGTTGTGATGTTAATAAAGCGACGACTTATTTGAAAAACGACGTTAAAGGGGGTAACGTAAATCGGGGTATGACTGTACTTATTATTCAGTGTACTGCATTATTGTGAGAAAATATCTTGTTTGAGATTGGATAGTACGTCCAGTTTTATGTCCGTTAATTCGGTCCATTAGAGATATTATTAGCCTGCTTTTCATCAGGCTAATAATAATACACAAAATCGAATAATTACTTGTTTAAACACCGACATGCCAATTACTGCAAGGAGACACAAACCATGTTGTTTTACATTGTATGTTACTGATTAGTGATTGCGCATTGCAAGGTGCTCAATTCTTACATTTTCATTATTGCATTGTATTGGGCCTGACATTGGGCCTTCACAAATCTACACTGACCAGTGTGGTGAAGTATGGTTAAAATAACCCTCATGACTGAAAGGCTTGAGGAGGCCTTCATCTAGAAGTGGATTCTACACAGTAAAGCATTTTTTTTATATATAATACAGGGTGCTTAAAAAAATGTTAACACTTCTGAGAATTTGCAACAACACCACAAGAAATGTGCCTCCGGGCTCTGGAGACCACCTGCAGAAGATTCCAGGTATGCGTTGATAATGATGGCGAACAAGGGGAGATTCTTAGACTTTTTGAAGCTATTAACATACATTTGTTTATTTTACCAATAAAAACCATAGTCCCATAAAAGTGTTACATAATTTTTGAAGCACCCTGTATATCGTTTTCACAACTGGCCGAGTGGGTAGTATGGAGTTGATATTGGCAGATTGAACCCCATCTCATTTGTAATTCTGGGGGGCAATATTCAAAGGATTCCTATCAGCTGTGACGTGGGTCGTTTCTCACAACTAAATCTTGCACACACTTTCTATACGGACCAAAACTCAGCAACTTTGATGCCGAAGACAACATGAAGCGCTGGAAGAATGCGAAGAAGAGAAAGTACATTTGCTCGTAATCACGCTCTGCCTTTGCATAAAGTACATTTGCTCGTAATCACGGCTCTGCATTTGAATAAAGTATGTTGCTTGTGCGGAAATGCGGAAATCATATATTCATTGCAATCAGTAGCTCAAAGCCCTGCGTGATGTTGGGCCTTGCATATATCCTTTCCAATAGAACGCATTAACGTGTTGTTAAAAGCGCGCGGTCACAGGAGTAGTCTTTCCACCGTTTGCGGTTGACATTAGCAGAAATGCGGGAAAAATTGAACCCTCCTTCCGCATTTTCCATGCCGAAATCGCAACCCTGCTCCAAGCCATCGCATTCCACACAGTCTTGCGATACCACAATCTATTTCACTGCTGCACAGAACTTGAAGTCTTCACTCTATCTCTACGGTAATCATCCTGCCACACTTGTTATGTCTTAAATTTCGATTTAAAGCTTTCGTGACTGCAGGGATTCTTCTTCTTGGTTCTTTCGGTAAAGTCATGTAGAAGGGAAAATAATAAAAATAAAACATAATAAAATACAATTCTCACAATTATAATAAAATACATTTCTCCCAATTGTGAGAATTGTATTTTATTATGTTTTATTTGTATTATTCCCCTTCTACGTGACTTTACCGAAAGAACCAATAAGTTGTTCTGTCTTCCTCTCCTTAACTTCAATTAAGGTGGCCGACATTGCAATAAACATTGTCATACAAACCGCAGGCAAAATCCATAGCCTTTAAGGCGATAACAGAGAAACTTATTTCCCGCTTGTGACATGCATAACACCACGTAGAATGTCAACATAACCACGGCTGCTGCGGGTCGTGCTCAAGCGACAACCCAAACGTGTGTTTGTGTTTTTTCCTCCGCTCCAGTGTCGCGCGTCGTGAACACGTACGGCCCCCAGACGCAGCAGGAGGTGGCGCAGTCCGGCCGAGTGAGGGGCGGCAACGCCTCCGAGGATTGTGGGAACTCGGCCGTGGAGGAGCGCCTTCAGAATCTCGAGGAGCACCTACGTCTCCGGCATGGTGCGTGCATTGGGTGTTTTGTGCCGTTCGCAACACGTAAGGCTGTCGGGAAGATGCCGAGGTTCACAGACGAGATTCGCCTGCCAGTTAGGGGACAGTGTTGCCGTGTAGTTTTTCCCCGTGTAAGTAATTTGTGGGTAATTTTTCACATTTGACAGTTAACATTGTGTGTAATGCTGATACTGATACTTATGGAGTCAAGTACACAGAGGGTTGCACTTGGGTAAAATGGTAATTGGCCGTGTGTGTTCGTGAAATAATTTAGTTCACTGATTGGATGACCTGATAATATTTGGAGGAAGGACATTGTTTACTCTTAAACCCAACTGTTTAATAACCAAGAGTAGACTACGTTTTTTTAGAATCACAACAGAATAATATACAAAGACTTGTTTTAAATTATACTGGTTTGCTGACTCGCCCTGTGACGAGAACAACAACAACAACAATACCGACTAAATAAATTCTGTTGAAGAGGTATCACTTATCTTCTTGGTTCTTTCGGTAAAGTCACGTAGAAGGGAAATAATACAAATAAAACATAATAAAATAATTCTCACGACGTTTCGGCCACAACGCAAGCAGCCATCCTCAGGTGAAGAACAGGTCTGTTGGGGAGACAGTGACTTTACCGAAAGAACCAAGAAGATGAATCCCTGCAGTCACGAAAGCTTTAAATCGAAAAGGTATCACTTAATGTTGATTCGTGGTGTGGTGGTGCAGCATTCTGTATGTTGCCGATGGTTGTTCTTCCTGTGTGTGTATCCAGGTGGTCCGGTGCCAGGTAGCGTGTACGCACGTCTGCAGGAGCTGGAGAATCGTGTGCTCCAGCTGGAGGGCTCTTCCCCCGAGTACTTTGAATCAATAGTGAGTACCAGTTATTGTGTTCTCTCATAAACAACAAGCTCAAGACCTCTTTTATTTCCTCGGCCTATCACCGAATGTGACTCCCGTTCGCCACAACAGAAATATTTCCACTCATTCTGCACAGCGTCTTTAGATGCGGCCTCATTTACATGCCGTCTAAATCCGAATTGCGTTGTAAAATCGGTGATTTTAAATACATGGTTTATGCATTACGCAACACGTTTATGTTTAGTATTAAGTGAATGCAATTTTTGAATATTTTGCTCAAGACATGTTTGACTATCTGTGATATTGTCCATATTTTTTAATCTAAACTAAGCTTTTATTTGTCATACATTTAAAGCATTCATTGGATACATTCATATTTGTTGTTGAAAATGTTTATTGCATACTAAGTGTCAATATTATATCACAAATGATTGTATTTAACTTAATTGAGCGATTGTTTTATCGCAGAATTCATTGAAAAAACGGAAGAAAGTTCACGATTTATCGCAAGTAAGTACTGCCAGTGATGCTGGAAGTGATTATAAATAAAAAAAGATTGAAATAAAAGATATAATTTCAATTTAGTGTGAGCCTTTACGATAATATTGAGTACAAAGGAAGTCCATGGGATTTAAATTACTTTTCTTAAATATATAAGAGTTGGGTTTTAATTTGATGTTGCTTTACTTTCAACTGGCCCATTGCTGTAACAAGCACTAATTATCAAAGCTCATCACCTTTTTTTTTACTCAAGAAGTGTCTGCCAAAAAATCATTTTGTACATTTATAGATGCTTTCGTTACACTTTTTGTTTTAACAACAAGGCAGTGATCATTGCAGAAGTGGTGAAATGTTGCTTGTGTTATAGTGCCCCATCGCCATCGGTCATTCAATGTTTCTTTGAGACACATTTATCACCAGGAAAGTGAAAGAGGAAATGTTTAATGGCATGCATACAATGTGATCAATGTAAACCGTAGACATTCGACTATAACGCATAAAAATTAACATTTTAAACATGATCCGTGCGTTATTTTAAAATGTGTCCAAAACATTTACATGAACGCATTTTTAAATGAACCTTTGGAAATACTTTATTTTGATAGTCTGAGAGCTCGTTCTTTATTAGAACAGCAGCATGGATTTAAATATCTAAGTTACATTGGTTTAAGTGAATGCTATTTTTGAATTTCAAATAATATAAAATATATTTACTACCTCATCAATAATATATTTATTATCCCAAAGTCTCTTATGAGTCCTAATTTACATTTTTACGGAGAGTTCTGCCACGCATGTCATGCCAGTTGAGAATGTTTGCTGTGTGTAAGCTATGTGTAAGATTGTTTTTGTATGTTTTTGCCCTTTTTTACCTACCCAACAGAAATATACTCTCTCCGATCTGGATGCCAAAATCAATGTGCTTAGAGCAATGCTGCTAAAGAAGAGCACCGATACATCAGCTCAGACTATGGACGTGGATTCTTCCAACCACGTCCCTTAGTGTCGCACTCCGTACGCTCACCGTTGTGCAATGTTCTTCGACTGCCGATCAATTACATTCTTTATTCGTATCCGTCGGAGCTTAATTATTGTCCGCTCTTTTTATTATTGCTCTGAGTAAAAAAAAAAAATAGCGGTGTTTAGATTTCGATTTAAAGCTTTCGTGACTGCAGGGATTCATCTTCTTGGTTCTTTCGGTAAAGTCACGTAGAAGGGAAATAAAAAAAATAATAATTATGTTTTATTTTTATTATTTTATTACTTCCCTTCTATGTGACTTTACTGAAAGAACCAAGAAGAAATAGCGGTGTTTTAACATCACGGGGCTGTAAGAGTAAAGTGATGTTGGTGTGCAGCTATTAAGGGGACCGGCTTACGCACGAGGGAGTGCTGTCCTGCAGTTTTGCACGCCCAAGGCTGCTTTTGTCTCCCCATTGCTAATATGTAACATGCCAGGTAATCATTTAAGGCTGAGTTGACCAAGGGGAGGCTCAGGGTATCTTCGGGGTTTTTCTTGGCAGTCATGATAAAAGACATAATTCTTTCTGAGAAAAATATGTTTGCAGAAGACAATTTCAGGATATTTCTACACACGGGGATCTGTCAGGCTGGACACTCGTTGATCTATTTGGCAAGTTGGATGTGTTGTACTGGAGACCCTTGTGCCATGCCTCTGTCTCACGCTGTACACAATTAACAATCGCATAATTTCAATATATTATTTAGCAGCAGTGGCCATGTAGCCTGACCCCAACAGAGGCCACACACCAATAGCTTCATGTGACCGACAGCCAGAACCATGAGTGGCGAAATGTTAACTACCTTGCCTCGTATGGATTTTTCTCCGGGTCCTCCGCTTTTTCTCCTCTACCTTCGTAAACATGCGTTTAGAGTATTTGGCTGAAATACATTTCCACGTAATAAGCCACTTCATTGGAGCTATACATTTTTGTGGTTTGAGTGGCCGTCACGTGGCCGGTTTGTTCGCGCTGGTTGGCTGTGAAGCTTTTAATTTTCTAGGTCGGCATGAGTGCCCGAGCAGTATTCACGTCTGAATGTGTTGCCAGTGGGTGAGTGCCCCAGGCTGTTCACGCGTCTGCAGCTGTTTGTCGTTTCGAATAAAGTTATATCGACAATTTACAAATAAGGTCTTTGTGCAGCCACACTTGGAAGTGTGTCCAGGAGGAGCACGCAGCTCGTGAGCTGCGGTTTGACCACCCCGAGTCTCCAGCTCGTTTCTAGAGCTCCTCGGTGACAATCCGATGTTTATCGATTATCTGCACAGACGCAATGCTGTTGGCTGCTCAATAGGTATCCAAAAACATCGAAATATTAAATTACTGCTCCGTTGATTTGTGATTATTGTATGTAGTTCAGGTTGATAAATCTACTTTTCACACCTTTTCCTGTAATCTGCCATGATGTTGAGCATGATGACAGGGTTGACTATGTACGGTGTGAAATACGTTTAACATACATGTTTGCCCATCTATTTAGACCGTTATATGAACCGCCTGTTTATGTAAGATTATATACTGTGTAAGTATGTTTAAACGATATGAAGGATAAGCTGGATTCACTTAATGTGTGCGTGCATTAACGTTGAATGTTACCTCGAGTAGTTTTCGATTCTGGCTAACTACATGCTTTAAGTGGCATGTGTAAGAATTAATGTCTTTCATGTTGTATGTATGAGTTCACATCACCATTCTTACTAGGTGCAGCAATATCTACTGCAGTAGCAACAAAAATGCTTAATCTGAATCACAACACTGAAATGAAAATGAGGGTTAATCATTCCTACCGCTAATGTGCATATGTCAACTTTTTATCCATGAACAGTATTTTTATCTACAAACATTCCAAGTCTGGTACTTTTGAGTCGTTAACATATTCTGTACAAGTGCTTGTCAATTTTTTTTAAATAAATGTGTAAAATGTTAGGTCGGTGAAAGTGTCTCTGGTGTGGACCAATCAGTTTCAAAGACTGCATATATTATCAGAGTACGTTTTTTGTTTGCACTCTGACCACAAGTATTGTGGTTAATGCAGACATGATTCCTTGGTGTTTTAACATCTTAACACCTGTTTTGTTGCCAGAAAAAAGGGTAAAACCTATTCTCATGTGAAATCAATGTTTTGTCTATTTTGTAGTTCCTCAAGAAGTACCATAAATATTAGTATTTTAATTAAAAGTATAAAAGCATTGCTTGAACTGCAGTCAAGCGAACTTTAGCCAGGTGGCATTTTGGTGAGTGCCTGTTTCGGTCAGAAGACTATTGGGTCCATATTCCGGTAGGGGGACGACTCAGCCTATCATCCTTCTGGGGTCACTAAAACGAGTACCACTTTCTGGCAATCCAAATTGTCGCTTGTCGAGCAGGCCTCGGGAATGGGGAAATTCCACCGCTGGGCTGCTCAAGGAGAGGGAACACCACCCATTTGCCCTGTTGATCATTGATGCGCTTTCAATGTCATTTGGGTTGTTTGTTTATGAGGAAACGGTATCCTTGAAAATCATCGCATAAATAAACTAAACTTGCATTTTCCAGATAAAGCCCACTGAGCTATTATCTCAACCTGGCCAGAAATGATAGGTCATCGAAATGGAGTATATACAATGCGAAAAGTGAAAGTTGTGAAATAAACTCAACGTGTGTCTCTTAATGTGGAGGGCAAAATCAGAGGATCTGGAGAAAAATCCACGGGACCACCACGGGGAGAGAGAACCTGCGAACTCAGCATATACAGACAGGGATCGTCAGGGTCAGGATCGAACCCACGACCTCCTGCGTACCAGGCGAGAGAGATCACATTTCGCCCACCCCCCCACCCGGATGCGCGTAAAGTGTTGCGGTTCATAACTGAGATGGCATGAAGATCGTAGTGCCGAATCTGCTGGCTTTGCACTATCTCTGCAGCAGTGGGTGATCACAAACCGCACCAGGGCATCCCACGGGCAATGTGGAACACGTGCGCTGCGCAGGTGGACTTCACGCGACGGATCGAAGCGTGAACAGTCGCCCCTTAGAGTCACTCGTCGGCAGGATGACGACGTTTCACTCTGCGTCAGGTGATGTTCTTGACTGGATATCAAACCTCGTTCTAGCATTGTACACGGGGATATTTCCACACGACAGAAGAAGACTACAAAAAAAAACACGCAAGTGACTGATTATATTGTTAGCTGAAATATCCCGATGCACATTGCGTGAAAAAATATAAATTTCGATTTAAAGCTTTCGTGACTGCAGGGATTCATCTTCTTGGTTCTTTCGGTAAAGTCACGTAGAAGGGAAGTAATACAATAATAACAATAAAACATAATAAAATCATTCTCACTGAGAATTATGAGAAATATTTATTATGTTTTATTTTTATTATTTTATTACTACCCTTCTACCTGACTTTACCGAAAAAACCAAGAAGATGAAAAAATATATATTCTGAATTGGGATCACACAGAGCACAATCGCCCTTTTTGCAAAAACTAGGCAGAACCCTCACAAAAAAATATTCTTATATGACAGCGTGCCATTCCTGGGTTAACGAACAGAGTAACAAGAACAAGAACCTACAAAATATAAATGAATACATCCGTACGATCCGATCGTAGCATACAGCACGTTGAGATGCTACCAGTGGGGGGTAGGGTGGGAATATCAGATTTTAATAGCGTGGATTTCTTTTACCCCTTAGTTTGCTCGGTTCGACAAGTGGCTGCGGTCTTCCCACCAAAGCACTCGAGCCCACCCCCCCTCCCCTTCCCCGAGACGTACATGAGGTCACAGAGAGAATCCAGGAGCCACTTCAGTGCCTGGCCCCAGCCCTAAAGTTGTGGGAGAAAAATGCATCAAAGCGGCTTTGGCTGCTTGATCCTAACAGCCTCCGCCTCGCCGCAGCGGCGGCGGGCAGCAGCAGCAGCAGCAGTCAAATCTCTTGTTTGTTTAAAGCTGGATTACAGGCGAGCATTTCAAACCCATCGAGCTGCCCATGCAGAAGTAGGCGCTGCATTTGGCATTGTTTGGACAATTAGGTTACGGCGGTCATGAATCACGACTGCGGGGGCCAGTGGGAAATCTGCGGAAGTGTTTAGCTTAACATCAGCAACAACGACGACGGGACGTCGATATTTGGGGAGTGGATACGAGTCTCGGGGGATGGTAATGGTTGACACGCTCGACTTGCAAGGTACAGGTCACCCGGTTTGGTTCGATCTCCAGGCACGGCAGTTGAAAGTATGGGCGTTTTGAAAAAATTAGTTTTGCATAAAATTCCCACGTGATAAGCCACTTTGTTGAGCTGTCATTTGTGGGCAGGTCACCTCTGAAAATGTAGTCAAAAGCTAAGCAGGCTTTACCTGGTGAGATAAAACTAATTGTTGAGTTTTATTTTTGTTTTAAGTGATGTGTTTGCCTTTCCCACACTTTGCGCTCCGATCGTGTTTGTGTATCGTCTGTTTCATCATCATTATTATCATTGTGTGTTTTTTGTTTGCATTTGACTGGAAGTATTGTGGTTATTGTAAAAAGGTTTCAGTTTTGTTGCCAGAAAAAAGAGGGTAAACCCCTATTATTGTTGTTCTGAACCGCCCCGACTCGACATCTGTGAAAAGAGCTTTGTAGCTCATCGGATTGTATATATATAAATATTCTACATGTGTGTTGAACTTCTTTCGCACCGTACGTAGCCAACCGTGCCTCTTATTATAAAATAAATAAATACAATTTTTTTTTATTTCCCTTCTACGTGACTTTACCGAAAGAACCAAGAATATGAATCCCTGCAGTCACGAAAGCTTTAAATCAAAATTTAACCGTGCCTCTGTTCACCCAAGCGGAATGTTTATATATATTAGCCAGTAAGTAGATCGACAGGTCGTTTGGGGTGGAGTCAAGTCTGGGTACTTGATCCCCCAACTGTTCAAAGGCATTTGGCTCACAGTGGAATAAGAGAGATGGGGGGGGGGAAAGAAATACAACCTCGAGAGAGTGAGAGAGCGTCTCGAAACCTCCCACTCGTGCGAGGACCTTCTGCCAGCCACATTGGCACGAGCCCAGAGCCGTTGCACGTCCTGCTCCTTTACCTTTTCACGAGTGTAACTCACAGTGGATGTTCTATTGCGACGTAGGAATGTGTGACTTGCACTCCTGGCTCTGAGTCACTAATGGAGGTGGGCACAATCCAATGCCCGTTTGATCATGGAGATGCTTAGCAAGTTAGCAGATCAATTCCATTGTTATCTTTAGTTCAAGCAAGCCTGACTCTGCTGATGAGACACTGTCGGTCGAAAATAGTCCAGAGTTTGTTCGTGTTGAACCGATCAATGTTGATAGAATTATGGACTCCCCATAAGGCCGTTTGGTTGATGTGATGCTTAAAACATATTTGTATTTTTTACGTGACGAGACAGGTTTGTGAATGAAGCATACTGTCTGCTTATTTATTTTGTTAATGTCTTGACTTGTCCCTTTACCCACTGTCGAAGAGCTAACTTTATTTGCAAGCTGTAGGGGGCACACGTGTACTTTTACACCGAAATCCATGGCGAGATGGCGTACGATAGGAATGCAACGCGGGTCAAATAACAAGTCAATATACATTATTAAGCTGTGAAAAGCGAATCGGGAGCAGACCTGGCTCGGGTGAATCATTGCCAGTTTCGTTGATTTTGTTGAACTAGGTTAGAAGGACACGAGTCTCATTCCCAAGAGCGACCAGGGTGACCAAAATTACAACAACAACAAAATAAAATACACACACAAATAAAATGTCCATACAAAACAATTTTTGGCTCGGTCATATTACTTCTAAGACGAACAACTACACCAGGTAAGCACCCAACGTTGACACAACGTTAGCATGGGGTTGGAACCGCTGGCTCAACGGAGGAGCAACGTTTCCTGTTTGCTGGGTAATTGGCGGCCAAGAATAAGAACCGAGAGAGGAGGACTGCCCATGGAGATGGAGTGACTAAAACGAGCTCGCGGGCAGCAGTCGCTTGGATCGTTACATCGCACCGCTGAGAGATGTGACGCCTTAGGCAGGCCTTCACTCAGCAGCGGATAGAACATAGCTTAACGCGTAGTCTTTCGCGACCAATATCCATAATAGAGGTGTTTGGGTTAGATCGCGTTAATATAAATGTGTCATATTCTTGGTTCTTTCGGTAAAGTCACGTAGAAGGGAAATAATAAAATAATAAATATTAAACAATAAGAATTATCACGACGTTTCGACTGCAACACAAGCAATCATCATCAGGTGTGAAATCCACAATTTTTTTGCTGTGGATTTCACACCTGATGATGATTACTTGTGTTGCAGTCGAAACGTCGTGAGCATTTTTATTGTTTTATATTTATATTATTTTATTATTTCCCTTCTACGTGACTTTACCGAAAGAACCAAGAATATGAATCCCTGCAGTCACGAAAGCTTTAAATCAAAATATAAATGTGTCGTTAAACCCGCCACAGATAATTCGTAAGGTTTGTCACGTAAACGAAACATGCCAATTCGTAACTAGTTCAGCACACAGCCAGAGTTTTGGAGAAATGCGATTGTGTACAGGTGATGTGAATATGTGGTCGTTGTGTACGATGCAGTCCGCCTGATGATGCTAGTTGTAATTACTGGCAAAAAGTCGCACTCCAATTGTACATGTTGTGGGTTTACTCTCCAACACACCAGTGTGCTGTACTAGTAACGAATTGGAATGTTTTGTTGACGTGACAAACCTTACTAATTAACTGTGGCGGGTTTAACGACACATTTAGATTCACGCGATCTTACCCAAAAACCTCTATTATGGATAGACCATAGCTATTGGTGATGATGAAGCACACAATACAAGCAATGAGCCGTGCGTGTAACGTCAAACTTGCTCCACTTTCATGGTTGATCATCAAAGCAAACCGCGAATACAAACCGCGTGGGTTTCCTCCAGGCCCT